GGCCGACGCTTCCACTGTGATTCTGGAAGACGTCCGCTCAATTTGACAGGATATTCCAATATCCTCCCGCGCCGCAATCCGCAGGTAGTCATCAATGTCGAATACGCATCGCTCGAAAAATGCGAAATTCATGCGTTAAATGTCGAGTCGGAGAGTATTTGGTCGCTTCTCCTCCTCTTCAGGCGAAATCTCCGCTCTGAATGCCATGGGTCGTTCCGGTAGACGTTGGGGGGCAAGCGTTCCCCATCCCAGTCGACGGGGGGGAAATACCACGACGCTCCGCTATCAGAATACGATAACCGGTCGTCCTACAATGATGCTGCTGCCTTCGATAACAGTCGACGATAAAAGCGACTGAGGCGAACGCGACCATTACGATGCTCCCGGAATACGTGAGGTGGGGTGACCAGATACAGGTTGCTGAGCCCGCGCGTTGATACCCACCCGACATCTGAGCTCAAAACGGAATGATGGATGACCCTCCCTCTCCTGCCTGCCTGTTACTAGGGACGACATCGCAAGGAAACTCGCGATCTCTGTGACAATCGCTCGAATGATGACACTGTGGACAAACTAATAATGCCGTCCATTTTGCTGCTCGATGCGCTGGTAGTCTCTGATCGTTTGTAAATAAGCGGGAATTCTGCGTCGGCCCTCCGGAGGTGATTCGAACAGGTCTGAATGGGGAGCGCATAGACTCAATCTGAGTTTGCTTCGGGGTCCAAGAAGCGTCCAGTACAACGATATCTCATTATCCTATACCTAATGACCCGTGGGTCATTCACCCGATTACATTTCGGTCTCCAATCAGTCGGATGAAAAAGGCATACCCGACGTATCGGTTTAGCTTATTCGTCTCTCGGACGCGGAACAATGGCAGTCGCGGAATTCTGATCCCCTCAGAATGGAATGTCCCCAATCGTCGGAAATTCCTTCGCTAGTTCATCTCTTGAAAAATCTACGGTTCGAGAACTCCGACCTCCAACATTCGAATGGTCGTTGTAAGAAATGGCAGCTAATCGGAGAAAACTCCAAACCGAGTCGAGTTTGCACGCAATTCACTTCTTTTCATCGGCCGTGAATTACTCGAGATTCGGACTCGAGTCTCAGAGAGGTATTCTGAGACACTGAGATTTGCAGGAATCGTTGCACGTGAGCCATTGCGAGCTCATATCGACTCGCTCTCGGTGCAGTGCTCAGATGAAGAGCATCACCGGACGCGGTAGGCATCGGGGCTCTCATGGACAGAATTCGGGATCCCACCCGATGAATGGGAGATAATGGCGGAATTCTCCTCCGTTCCGGAGCCGGAGTCGAATTCGAAGAACGACGATTTTCGCGAATCGGAAGGAGCCGCTAACAAATGATGCAACAACTTTCGGGATGCTCGTTTTACGTTCGTTTGGACTCCGCTGCGGCCAGAGCGGAAGCTGAAATACGAAATTCACCGAGCCAGGACACGCTGTAGCGCGTGAGGGGAGCTCGCCTAATCGATACATCACGTGACGGGGATCAAACCCACCAAATACAAATGTCGTGCCTCTGCGGCATCTCATCTCTGCGGCCTGTGGATCGCAGGCCCGCGCGGCGGCAACGGTGTTATGGGATATACGCGAGCTTTGTTCAAGCGGTCAATCGACTCCTCGAACCGGAGCTCCTCAGTCCAGCTCAGGCGCTACACTGGTCGAGGACAGATACTGCTGAACGTGTCCATCGGCTTCAAGCTCACGTGACTCAGGGACGTGGTTTCATTTTCTCCTTTTTTTGTTCCGTTCCTTTTCCAGTTGGAGCAGGTGCCATCAGCACGCTTGAGATGCCTTCAGCATGCAAATCAAGTGACTCCCAACTGAGAGACTCGCTGCGACTCGAAGCGGCACATATGACACAGAAAGGCAGGCGAGCTTATTCCTCTTGGGCAGAAAAGTTCTGCAGTGTGCCCTGGGAACTCATCATACTTGTCAGAAGAGACATTTTTCTATCCATGGAGCACGGCAACCCAAACGACAGCCGCAGTGGCGGTTGCGACAGTAGCTGCGGGGAAATCTCTGAGCGAGTCTTTCCGAAAGTCCCACCGTGCGTTGCACGGGACCGACCGTAGCGAGGTTCGCATCGCGAGCAAGTGTCTTTCCCCGGGGTCCGGTGTTCTCAAAGCGGAGGCTCGGTCAGCGCAGGCGTGATTCGCCCCTACCTGATAGTCCCTGCCCCCGGCGATAACACCACCTATGCCAAACAAATCGCGACGAGTCGACACTGTCGCGACGAATGGCTGCGTGCTCCAGCTCGGGCCTCTGCGACAGAATTTTCGCGACGCGTTCCACGATTCGCTCGGGAGGCGCGCATCGGAGCCCACCGGTGCCCCGCTCTCGTAGAGTTCCTCGGGCACAGCTCATGGATCCTCGGATGAAGCCCTCCGACGGCTTGTCAGACGAGCGCAGATCCCAGTAGCAATCCGAGAGCCTTGGGCGGTCGTCGCCGTCGTATCCTCGTCCGCTGCACGGAGCCTCAGCGGTTGCGAGCTCGATCGCTCGCTCGCAATGCCTACCTGGATATCTTATTGTGTTGTAAGTGTGCTCGTCGTCGTCGTCGGTGGCGGCGATCACTGCCGATCGACTCCAGTTTCACTGCACTAACGAAGGCCGAAGGGCCCACTGCACCTCACTTGCACCCCAAGAGAGAAAAATAATTGGAACTAGAGGATTTCTAGGGGGTGTGCTCACTTTCACGCACTTCGCCGCTGTAGACGATTGCAACGATTCACGCAGCCAGCTCCTTCAGGGTTATGAGAGCTACTAGAGCAATGAGACTGTAGGCGGCGCTGCGTTTGTGGGGGACACAGCAGACGCTCAGCCGGGGCCTTCACTAGAGGGAGCCACACTTCGATCGATGGCCCGCCTCGGGACTCCGGGCGAACAGTTCAAATTCACCCCGCTACCACAGTCCGAGTGCTTGAGCCCCATCGGCCAACTGTGCTCTCTGACGTGTCCTCAATCAACGCGTCACAGTTGCGTTCAACTCCGGATACGAAGGAGGAATCCAGGGTTCATCTCTCGCTTGGAAAATCGCCAAGTGACCACTGCTCGACGCTTCCTCAGGATCGTTCGCTATTCGGGTAGGTGGACGCGTTCCCGAACGTGAAAGAGGTTCTCGAAGCTCGTCTCGCGACTCGGTTTCCAGACAGGGAAACGGTCGAAGAGCACTCGATAATTTTTCGTTCCTCTCGTTTTGCGAATTTCTGCAGCGTGGGTTGCAGGAAACTATTCGAAGCACAGAGTCGCTGCCCCGGGGCGACCCCTTTCCCCTCCGACGAGGAACCCGATTCCCTGAGATCTGCGAGAGACAGAGGGAGGGATTATTCTCCTCAATCCAGACTCGAACAGGCTCAAAAATTGCAATCTCAGAAGCTCGGGCAAGCCGTGCCTCGGGGAATTTCCATCCAGCCAACACGGTCGGAGCGGTATCTACGGCGAAGGCTCTCTAGACCAAAATAACCGAGTCTAAAATAAGACTCGTCTTCATTCCAGCCTCGCATAATTGAGCGCGCGAAACGATGAGCTCTCCGTGAACTTCAAACATTAGAACAGCTGCGGGAGCCTCGCTCCCTGCTCGGAAACTCAGTCTCGCAACCACCTCTCCTCTGATCTCGGTTATAGCCGCCTTGTGACGAGGCGGCGTCTACTACACATACCCTATATTATAACCCGACTGTTCCCACTGTTCCTGGTCCTACGGCTCGATGTGCTCGGGACGACGACAGACGCACTAAACGCAGTATCTTGAAAATACTTGCGACTCGCTCGTCGATATTATACTCGCGGAGAATTTCGTCCGTCGAGAAACAATGTGTCTCGCCATTGTTTTCCGACAATACCATCGTATCTGAGGGAGCGATACAAAAGCGCTGATTGCGTGATCTTCCTGAACTCCGCCAGCGGGTCTCCGTTTGCTTGCAGCTTTCGCAAGCCATCGACGACTCGAACTTGGGAGTGGTAGCCAATTAAACGGTGCAGTGTAGCGAAGTAATCCATGGCCGACAGCCAAGTTGGTCCGTTACCTGTCCCAAGTTGGCTGGACAAATATACTCCACGTACAGAAACCAGGGTCGAGAGGACGGAGCAGAATGGCTTTCCTCGCTCTGCAGTACGATGCTGCGCTTACTAGTTGATAGATCCGGACCGGTTCGAGACTCGCTGCTAATAAGCACGTCGAGCCAATGCCTCGCTAGTCTTCTTTTTCTCGTTTGCACAAAGTCATTATCCCAGCTTCGCCGAACAGCCTCCAACAATGCAAGAGGGCGAGGTTGGGTCACAAAATCAAAGATACGGCCTTTCAGAGACCACGATAGAAGAGGCAAGAACAATCTACGCGAGTTGTTGGCTTCCAGTCAGTATCGGAGCGGGTGATGAGCGCGAGAGCAGAGGCACGGGAGCCTTTGTGTTCCCCGCCGCAAGGCCTCAATTAGCTATCGAAGCGCCAGGGGAACAAAAACATTCTCAGAGTCCCAACTCCTCGCGCCCTAGAAACGAAATCACAACGAGCATTGGAATATCGAATGATCGGAATGCTTCGCCCCCGAGACATATAAATCGAATGGGCACTCCTCCCGAGGAAGCTTAATATGGTGCAGCTTCGAGGGAATCCTCACGCGTGGAGGATCAACGACTCCTCGTCGGAGGAACATGGGATCAAGATATGAATGGACCGCGAGGGAGGCCAAAGGGAAAAGAGAAGAAAAAAAACGGACATAAAATGCAACGGAGTGACGTGCGAGCTTACGGCTTGAGACTGGTCAATATTCCAACTCGGCGAACGTCCATACAAGGGGTCTTCACCACGTGTCAATCCATCGGCTCTTCCGAAAGATTCAGTTGCGAAAGTGACAGTGTAGGAAGATCGATTCGGCTCCGAATCGCAGACCGCTATGTCCGCGGTCTCACCGATTCTCTGAATGTGGGGAACGTGCTGACTACCTAGCTAGGAGCTGTCAGGAGCAATGAACTCACCTTGTACGTTTCCAGAGCCTGCTGGACACTCTCTTCCACGCCGTAGTCGACAACCACTCCCTCGAGCGTCGACTTCCCTCGAGCGACCCACGACTCGATTTCCAGGACACCGTCGGACAACTCACTCATACCCATGCTCCCTTCAATTTGCGGCAGTACGTCACCTGGATGCAGTTTCACATTTGAAATTCCTTTCAAGAGCTTCCTCCTCGGGAAAAGTTCCCCGGCGTAGTGGGAGCATTCTAAAACCTTTCAGGCACGCTGCCGAGACCTTGGGAAATCTAGTTTGGGAATGGCAGAAAGCCTTCCGGGACGTCAGATTGCACTTCCAGACTTGCGGGATTTTCATGCAGGGTTCCGCGGAAGTCTGTCCGCTCCCTTGCCAGACTCCATGGGGGACTCGGGAGCGACCTTGATCGTCGTCTCACTCTCGAGAAACAACAGGTGGACTCGGGAAAATCCGTTGGAGAGGAGAGTTCGTTCCTTTCGACTGAAGTAAATTTAATTTCCGAAGATAACTCGTACCGTGGAGGTTGTGGAGTTGCGGAACGACGAGCAAGGCGAGGGGAGGGCCACACCTGGCAGCGTAGGCACACAGTTTCCTCCACGTCGAGGCACATCGGCCGAACTCAGTCTTGCACTCGGGAAGCAAAGGGAACACCTAAAGAGAACAAAACACCCCCGAAAGGTGAGTACCTTGGATCTTCATGCATCTTCATCGCGACCGACGGTATTCCCGACCCAGACTCCGGACCCTTACTTTTTCCAGCTGCTGGACCTTCTTCTGAAGTTGGCGCATCGTGCGAGAATGTTCAACCATCACGCGTTCGTTCAGGCTCTCTGCGCCACCGTGCGCGGTCGGCGAGTCGGCCTTGCTCGGCGAGGACGTCGCGAGTTCCGTCTTCGGAGAACTCGACGAGCCCCGCGCAGACCCCGTCAAGCCCCTCCAACCCTTTGGCGTTGATGTCCGTGGCGTCCTCAATGACATCCGGCCAGACTCCTGCCCGCGCCTCGGAAAGTCTCGGCAAATGAACGAGTTCGAACGACTCAGAAGGTTCCGGGCGACTAGGGATTCGGCAACCAGGAGCGATGCGTTCAGTTTATTGTCTTGTTTTCGGATGTCTCCCATGAGCACATCCAACCGTCGCAAATAGTCCTCCAGTTTTTCCCTGATATTGAAAGAATTGGATCATGAATGCGGGACCTCTCCAAATCAACACCCTCTCCACTTCTTCACATTAATGAACGAATCCATATTGTAAACTGTGTAAGATATGTATGTATGTCGAAAACCCATGTTCATTGCAATCGTCTAATAAATTCTGCGGACGGAATTGTTGTCACGTTTCAGAGGGACTACCCAATTTATAATAATCGAGGGAGTTGATCGAACTGTCATAGGGAGCAACTTCTGGTGATGAGTTTCTCCCACGGATTTCTCCCCATCGACTCTGACAGAACTCTTCGTCCCGAGGAAGATCGACCCCCTCTCAAGTCATTATTCCGTGTTTGATACAATTGATTACTGCGGACTGATTGCTCGCTCGACCCCTGGTAAACGATCTCCCCGATCAAACAATGCAGAAGAAATAGGGACAGAGAAAAACCCTGAAAGAGTGCAATGCATCGGAAACTGACCTGAAATCGGTGAGTTGTAGACACAGATTCGAGAATTTGTCGCCCAGAGAATCGATGTCGATTTTCTGAGGTGCTGAGCTCAGCAACACGCTGAAGAAGCACGTTCTCTTGGAGACCATTTCGTTTTCGCAACGTTTGACGTTCTCCAGCTAACAGGGCGGGAATGAAAAAACATTGAATGACCTGCTCCACGAGGAATCATTATTTTTTTCCCCGGGATTCCTCCATCGAAAACCGAATTGAACGAGGTACTCACTTTCTCGAATCCTTCCTGTATATTTTTGGGCGGGGGGTTTATCGTGAGAAGGGTCTCGGCTTCCATGAACCAGGCGCGAAGTTGTAGCATGTCGTCTCGCAGCTGTTCACCCGTTCTCGATTTTTTCTCGCTCGTTTTACTCTTTTGGAGTTCTAGGAGGAGGCTTTTCCATCGCTTCTCTATCGAATCCAGCTTCGAAGCTAGCGACGATACATCCGAAGTCCCACATTGAGTGAGGAGACTGCGTCCGATATGCTTCGTACGATCGTAGATCGGGAGATGCTCGGCCGCTTGCGACTCGTAGTCCTGGAAAGAGAGAATCAATCGTAAGCTCGGACCGTCACCATCGACTCTGAAGAAGATTCGCTCCGTCTTCATCGCTGGTCCTGCTGGACGTTCGCTCACCGGGACGCGTTTTTTGAGGAGTGCGAGCTGGAGCTCGCCTTTCTCGGTCGACTCTCGCATGTGGGTCTCCATCGAATCCAGCCAATGCGTGAAAGCCTTGTAGAATGAGTTGAAACTCTGCCAGAGCTCCTTGCTCTTTACCCAGCGATCGTTGACGCTCGTGAACGAAGTCTTCAATTTGCTCCATTGCTCCGAGAGGGCATCGACAGCTTCGTTCAACTCCGACGTTTCCTGCGCGTTGGACGCGTGCACTGTTTTGTGCTCGAGTTTTACTTGGTCGATCGGACTCCTCAAAGATTCGATTGACTCTTTGATGGTCTGGAGCAGCTCCTTCTGGGCCTGGCCGAACTCGGAGAAGTTTTCATCTCCCAACATTCTCTGGAAAGAGGTCAACGTGTACCGCAGGGACGACACCTTCTCGAGGTATTCAGGGAGGGTAGACGTAGGTGAGCTGTAGGCGCTGTCCAATCGTCGAGGTGTCGAGTACTTCCCGGTGTCCTCTTCTCGAACGGAACGAATGTCCGTATGTGACGACGATATTCTTCGCAGATTTTTCAACTCCACAATCTGTTTCTGGGCGTCGACCCAGACCTGAGTCAGATCGTGCAGCCTTTTACGGATGGTTGAAGACGGGATTCCGAGATCTTGGAGTTCCTGTGCTTTTTTCTTGACGGCGTTGATACTCTCGCCAACCGACGCGGCGATCTCCAACGTATTCTGCAGAGGAATGCACGCTTCAGTCCGGCAATCTACATTAGACCGACTGCGGTCATACGGAAGTCTCAGTAGAGAAGAACAATTAGAGAGGAGAAGAAGACGGGGAAAAAATTTCGAGAGAGAGGACGTTCTGGCGACCAACTTACGTCTTTTACACCGTTCTTCAAGTTCATTAAAGCTTGCTCTAGCTGTCCGGCTAAACCTCTCACATCGTCCTCTTCCCGACTCACATCCGCGTCGAAATCTTTCCATTTTTCCTGGGCCGTTGATATTCTCTTCTGAGTGGATTCGATTTGTTTCTTACACCTGGTCCATCGCTCACAAACCTGCGGCCATTCGTCTTGGAAAACAGCCGTGGTTTCCACTCGTCTATCCAGATCTTCGACGGCAGCGTTCAAGACCTTCGATTCTTCGGCAAGATTCTGCAAGCAGGACTCGAATAAATCCGATACGAGTCAATTTGATCTGAGCCCGACCGGATGTCCAGCTCCGGACGATTACGAGCATTCCAAACTGCAGCTGGTCATCGAGAAGACGAAGAAGAGCTCAACTTACTTGGGAGAGATTGGCGCATTCCTCGAGCACATCCGTTTCAGTCTGAATGAGACAGAACTCATTGACCCTCCTCTCGATAGCCTCCATTCGCTCGAGGAACGCGTTGAGCTCCACGATCAAGCTATCGGGGTTGCCCGCTTTTTCCTGTAGCTTGTCCACAATGGCATTCCACCGCTCGCTCAATTTCAACGTCTGGGGTTGGACAATGAGGGAATATCGCTCATCAGCCTCCATGAGCTGCTTAGCTTCTTCACGGAGCTTTCTCACAACCTCATTGTAATCGCTGATTTCCGTCAGCAGACTTTGGAGTCTTTTTTTGCCGACAGGCGATGCTGTATACTCTTCTTTGGCCTCAAAATAAAGTTCTGCTCCTTCGAGCCAGGTTTTCACTCTCGTGCATCGAGTGTTGAAGCTATCCAGCATTATTCTCACTTCCGGTCGCTTTTCCTGCGGAACGAGGTTGACATCAGCGCAGCCGATGCGATTCTCCGAACACAGCCCCCCTTCCGGGATTTCGGCGAACCGCCAGCGGGAGATCGTCGACAGAAAAAAAACACTCACCGGAGCGAACATCCTCTCAACCTGTAGGAACTTGTCTTTGACGGGCTGGATAACTTGCTTGAGAAGTCCGAGGTCTGCTTTCGATAAAGCGTTGAGACGGTCTGCGCTCTCGAATAATTTCAAGAACATGTTTTTCCGCGGCGCGAGCTCCGTTTGAATTTGCTGCGGATAATTGAAGGGTTGCTCGACGATTTCGCCGATAAAATCCTCATGTGCGCGGCAGAAAATGACTTGGATGCGAACTCACCTCGATGTACTCGGTTTCGAACAGATCCGTCCTCACTGTGTCCAGCCAGGGCGCCAACGCGCTGTACAACGATTCGACGTTCTTGGAGAGCTCCACGGCTTCCTCAAGAATGGTGTTCGCAGAGGCAACGTTCTCCACCGCAACGTTGAACCTCCCTTTGACCTCATCCAAGCGTCGATTTACTTCTGACGGGTTCTCGTAGTACACTGCGTAGGTTCGTCCGTTTTTTATCGTTGCTTCCATGTCTGGTTTCATCCCGCTGAGAACAGTGTAGATTTCCAGGCACTTCTGCTGCTCTGCCTGAATATCAAGCGGCTTGTATGAGCTCAAACCCAGAAGTTTCGCGGAGGCTTCGACGGTGTTCAGCGAAGCCTCGGTTTTGGTCAGATTGTCCTCGAAATCTGCCGGGATTAAGCCAGCACGCAGTTTCTTCACGATGGCTGCATGCTTCTTAGCGAAGATCTCAAGTCGTTCGGCGATTCTCTTGCCGGCGTCGACTCGACCGTCTTTGGTGTATTCCTGGGATCGATTGAGTAGCATGTCGATGTCTTCTTTCGCTCTCGACATTTCCTCCCACTCGTGCTCCATTTTCCCTTTCGGAATATCTTTCTTGAGGGTTTCCTCGCTCTTCGCGATACTGTTTTTCAGCATGAGGATCTTCTCGTCGGTCTCCTGCGCTTCTTTGATCCATCGCTCCAGGAATTCAATGCCATCGTTCGCGTGCTTGCACAGCTCGGCGCTTCTGCCGAGCACACGATCAGCCTCCGTCGTCACATATTCCGTCATCACTCTCAAGGTGAGGAGCTCATCTCGGATATGACGAATCTCTCGGATGCGTTCGGGTTTTCCACTTTTCATGAAGAGCTCCAGATCCTGGTGGGAGAACGAAAAGAACGAATCAGTCATCGGAGTGATTCTGTCCGGATGAGAATCTCATTCACGATCTATCAAAGACTCACATCCAGGAGACCAGCCGCCTCTTCGGCATCTACGGCACTCTGCGGGGATTTCTTCATCTGCTTCTCAAGTTTGTTCAGCCATTCCGTTTCCATAACGATTAAATCTTGAAGGTAGACACATTTTATTTTCGGCTGTCAGATTGTTTCGGAATCCTCCTGATAGGAATCGTAAACGTCGGGCGCTCGACCAACGGTCTAGGTATATATATCAACGGAAGGCCGGCCGGAATTCGACGTATTGCCGCTTGATCGGCGGACCTACTTTTGAACTGCGCTAACTTGGGTAGAGCTCCTCTCAGACCCTCCTCTGTGGCGTCGATTCTGGCGTCGAGCTCCTTCCACGTAACCTTAACGAAGTCTAAGTCTTCTTTGAGATCTTCCACGTTTTCCACCCTATTCGCTTCCACCATCTGTTTGTATTGACGCTCGACCTTCTCGAGAGCCTTCTCTTTATTCTTCTTCTTTTCCCGTTGCCCTTGCAGGTATTTGAGTCTGGCTTGCACGTCGACGCCCAGCTCCATCGGTGTCGTCAGAAAAGTCTCCTGAACATGAGGAAAAATATCACGATCTCTCCAAGCGGGGTTTCTCCGGGCTCCGTCTGATCTTGGGCCGATTTGTTATCGCTCGACGACAAGGATTGACCGAAAACTCGAGATACTGACCTTTTCGAAGTCTCCAATCCATCGATTCAGATTCCTCACTTCCTCGGTGAGAGAATTGCTTGTATGGATGGCATCTTTGAGATCGTTTGTGTTGCTCGCGGTGTCCGCCGAAAGTTTATCCCACCGTTGGTTGAAGGCTACGACGGATTTCCGCAGCTCTGCCGCGTACTGCGGCTCGGCTTGCTTCATCATCTCCTCGGCAATGTAGTTGATGTTGTCCACATTTGGTTGGAGTCCGGCCATGTCGCTCCGGAGGGTCTGGGCTTTGTCTAGGAGCGCCTCCAGCTGGTCGAGGTCGATCATACTCCATCGCTTATCGCGGTCCTCAACGAACTCTCCGACGCAGTCCATCCAGGCGTTGATGGAAGCAACTTCATCGAGAAATAAGCGCAACATGTCGATCTGTTTGGTCAGGGTCCGAATACGTTCGGCTAGCGTGTTGCTGACGTTGTGCCAGCATTTGTTCATCTTCGAGAGCTGGCGCTCGAACGAGTCTGCCCATGGTTGCTGCTGTTCGGCGCGTAAGAGATCTTCGGCGGTATTGTTCAAATCGTGGAGGGTGCCCTCCTCTTTGTTGACCGATTCCTGGATATCCGTGTATTTCTTGATCTGTTCCTCCATGACGTCCAGTGACGTCAGGGCGACCGAGTCTCCGAGGAGGGTTCGATCCACGTTGTTGATCCAGTTTTCCAGGACCGATACACTTTTCACCAGCTTCGGCGGCGGGCCTGACGTCAGGGACGATTGAAGCTGTCTCTCAAGCTCCTCCAACTCCAGGTGCGTATCGTGCCATTCTTGGACAATTTCGAGGAACTGCTTGAGGACCGGATGATTCGCCAATGACGGCAGACGATCCTGGAGCTCAGAGGCGCGGCGTGCCAATAGCTGAACGTGTTCCTTCTGCTTGTTCGCAGTTGACAATCGATTCTACAAGCCGAGATTGGTGTGTCAATATTATGTGTAGTCATGGAAGAGAGAACCTCGGGCTGGAGGAATACACGAGTCATAGATAAGGTCCGATCGATCGCCAATGGCTCGATTTTGTGAACGATGGATTGGATCTTCGGAGCGATCGATTATTCCACTCACCGAGCAAGATTGAAGTTGACGCTTGATGTTGCTTTCGTCCCGGCTCCTCGCATCGGTATCGTCATCCACAACTAGATTATCACATTCGTCGATGAAGCGGCGCTTGGAATCAATATCCTTCACCAAGGAATCGATGCCCTCGCGTAGCTTCTCCACTTCGACTTGAGCCTCCGCGCGTTCTCCGTGAGATTTCAGAACGCTCTTCACCGCCAACCACCGCCGTTCCAATTCGTCAGATTTTTTCCTGAGCGCGTCGCTACTTTCACTCTCAACTGGAATTTTTTGATCCACTTCAAGATAGCGATTTGAGGCATCAGATCCGAACGACCCAGACATCTCAATAATAATTGATCAACCCCGAGCTTCGGCACGCATTTCCGAATAGCGCGGAAAGGCACTCTCTTGGATCCACCTTACCTTGGCCTTCGAGATGTTGTTCGAGCGCGAGTCTGGCTTCGTTGACCGTCATTTCCAGACGAGCGTTTTTCACAATCTTCTCGGCTTCCTTGAGCTTACGGAGCTGCTCTTCGGCACCCATGGCTTCCCAGAAATGACCGACCTTGGCTCCTTCTTCCGTAATTCCCACCAGCGTCTCCAGACGATTTATCACCCGGAATGCCGATGAGACTTCTTTGGTGAGTTCGGAGAATGAGCTCTTGCGAGAGAGCTTGTAGTCGACCTTGCGTTTCTTCACGTCACTTGGTTCACCAGCCTCGACCTGAGGAATTCAACAATTTTTCTGACTCCGTGCTCACTGAGTGGCACGGTCGATGATACGGACTCTGATCGCACGGTCCCGGAAGGGCGGGAAAACTCAGATTGATTGAATTAATCATTATGCTTCTCCAAGAGCTCACCTTGACATCTCGGACAACCTCTTTCTTCAGCTTGTACAGCTGTAATTTCCTGAGCCATAGCAAATTTTTGTCTTTGTTCCGTGAGGCCACTTCTTTAGCCAAATGGTCAACACGCTCGATCAGAGCATCCCAACGAGTGACGATCGCGTCACATCTAGAAGGAAACAAACGGATCGGACACGTCCCAGTTGTTTTTCCATGTTTTCGGATTATTCGAAATCGATGAGGTTTACCCCCATCGGTCGATGTCGTCAGAGAGTCGAATCGTGCGCCCACTCACTTTCTTGTCAACTCCACAAGCGCGGCGCATCCCTTGTCTTGTTTTTCGACCGTCAGCTGGAGCTGCCGGCACAGTTGAGTCAGTCGAGAATTTTCCGAATTCAGACATTCCGCGATTTGCTGAAGTCCGCTGATAGCTTCGGCCTCGTTCTGTGTGTCCTCCAGGTCAGAGAGGATCTTGTCCTTCTCCTGGAAGAATTTTGAGAAGAACTCCTCCTCGAAGATCATCAGATTGAGAACAGCGTGCATCTGATGCAGTTTCACTCCGCTGCTCTCGACCAGTTGGGTGAACATCAGATACCTGCGGATTATCGTTTAGTTTTCGGAATGCTCATATGGGGATACAAATAAATTATATTTGATGATGTTCGAACGAACCTCTCGCCGGTCGCTGAAAGCTGATCCTCGAGATCTGCGAAATCCGGGTCGTCTTCGTTTATGATCATCTCAGTCAGCGAGTTTACCAAGTCCTGCTGTTCCTCGATTTCTGTTTGCAATTTCCTGAGGATGTCGATCTGCTGCACTGTTGTGGCGTAGTCGGGCCCGGGCTGTGCGATGGTGCTCAGAGTGTCTTCGTGTTGAGTCAACCAATCCCGGAGCTGTTTCAGCCCTTGTTGTTGAAGTTGCATGAGGACTTTGTACAGCATGGTCTGGCGGCTCGTGATCTGCTCTCGTACGCTATTCAGCTTATCGTTGATGACGTTTATCTCCGCCTTGAGATCGTTTGCTTCCTCCTCTTTGAGGGCGGCTTGAGGGGATTTCAGGAATGCCTTGGCTCGCTGCAGGATCTCCACTGTGCTATCCTGCTGGTTGCTCATTTCTTGCATGAAAGCCTATCGAGGGGAAACAGACCGTCGGAGACTCGCTCGGTCGGCCGGATAAATAACGACACAGGAGTGTAGGCGACAAGAGAAGAATGACTTGTAGGTATCCGATTGAGGAGGAAGACTTACCTCGTGGTCGTAATACATCTGTTTGACACTGTCGACATCGTCTTCCAGTGAAGGTGATTGCGCTTCCTCGAGTCTTGCTTCAGCGCCGATGAGACGCGCTAAAGCCTCTTCGAGCATCGATCTGAATTTCTCCAGTGTGGCCATTTTTTCCGCACTCGCCTGCAGAGAGAGCTTTTTAAATGTTCAATTATCTGTAATTCAATTTTTGTGGAACAGATCCCGAAAAGTCCGCCGAATTCCAAGCAGCGATCAAACTAAGCGAGGGAAGAGCTTCACAGATCTAGAAACGGAAAACTTTTCCGTTTCCCCACGACCTCGGTCGGCGTCAAAGTAGCCACGCCAGAAAGAAATACCCCGTCCTCGTGATTGCTGTTTCACGTCCTCGAAGACGACTCTGACTCCGCGAACTATTCGTCAAGCTGAGAGGGGCTTTCCGTTACTCTATAGGCCTTATGAGTAATTCTCCATTCATGGTTAGACCGCGAAAGTTCACTCGCGCTGAGCAAACATTCGGGTTTCAGTCGAATCCAGCAGACTGTCTCTCACTATCGTACTGCGAGAGGCAGCTCTAGGCAGCTTTGTTGTCAAAGTATAGAAACACTCCGATCGAGTGTTTGGGGCCGTGAGTATCGATGACAGTCCGCGGTTTCTTCGCAATTGAATTGATTGATCGGACGATGCTCAAAGCACAAGCAAACAAAGCGACCGCTCGTCAAGCCTCAGCGTTCGTGACCGAGAACTATTTGACGCTTCGGAGGTTTGCGCGGACGAACACATGGAAGCGGAGACAAACTTGTGATTTTCGAGAGATCGACATTCGATTCGATCCATTCACCGTTCGCTCCTACGTCTCACACGGCACGGGAAAGGAGACTACTCACAATCGACCCACGAAGAACGATCAGGAGATTCCCCGAAACTCCCTGGAACGATGCATCACACAGTCCTGCCACACCCAGAGCTCGCTCTTCGAGTTTTGACCTCTGATTCCAAGCGCACGGTTCGAACAGATTTCTTCACGCCGAGTTTCGTGTTCTTTCTCATCACGGCGTGTCTCTCCACCGCATAGCCGTACCCACAACGCCGGTCCGCACAGTCTACTCACCGACTAAGCGGCGACCCGACGGACGGACGGACGGGCCGTTTGACAGACAGACAAATAGACCGAGTGAGCGTGATTACAAAGGAGCCGCAACAACTTGTTGATGAAGTTCGCAGTCGCGTCAGCGACAGGTCGCGTACTCGTCATCGATTCTCGGCTTCGGAAACCACGACGATCGTATCCTTCTGAAGCATGCTGCGGCCACTGGATAATTTATCTGAGGGGTCGGGAAACTCTTTTCCAGGGCGCCATTACTCCAGCGTCACCGTTTCCGGTGGAGAACCTACACTGCGGGCTTTCCTTTTCGGAGAACGAGGCTGCACTTGAAAAATGATCGAGCGGGATTCGCCAATCGTCCGCTCTTATTATTCGATGTGTGATCTTGAGCCGGCTGTTGTCCAACGCTGTCTTATACTCTCAGCTCTAATTTGATACAACACGAGAGCGGTCTCTCGTTGTTTACAGGCTTCACCGTTTCCACGGGCTACGTTCGGCGCCGTCGATGTGAAAGCGCGCCGGGCCCCTTAGGAGTAGATGGGTCGGAGGAGAGACTAAGCGCACGAGCGTGGAAAGCTCAGCAAGAACATTCGAGCAACCATCACCGGTGCCGGCGGTTTTACGTGGCGTCGAATCAGAAATGGCTCATGATCAAAAGATCGAGCTCTAATCCACGGGAACTCCGCGGATTTGACTCCGACCTGGGGGTCGTACATTCCTGGATTCCTGCTGGGAAAGAATCGAGAACCATCCTACTCAGGATTATTCGAATTCGAGAGCGCATCACCGGATAGGCTCATTTCCAAACAAAATGAGATCGTCCGGCTCGCCGAAACCGATAGAAGTCTAGCGGGAGAGGCCGGGAAGAGAAGAGCTCCTGGGAGCCGTGCTGAATTCCGAAAATACTATCTGCGAGTAATTACTTTTTCAATCAAGAGGATGAAGAGAGAAATCATGATCCGTGATCCAATAATTCGATGGAAAAATCGAATGTTGATTCTGACGATCCGACGTCATCAGTCTGCGCTCAATCAGTGGCCCAAATTCACTCACGAAGTTCCCATGCGCGATGGATCCTCACCCCGAGTCCAAATTATCCGTGGGTACTCACCCCTGCCGGAGCCAAATTATGCAGCCTTTGGTATAAACACATGGTGTACATGAGCACAGATTTCCGGTCCGGTACAGCCATGTCCTCAGGATCCAACAGTTTATCGATGCCGAAGGAAGTATGCGCGACCTGTCGACCAGATCAAATTTCAATTGATACGTTGCTCCTCATTAGCGCCAGCGGGGAATTTTCTGCGAAAGATGCTCGTCGCCAGATATAGATGCCCAGCTGCGGCAAAACAAAGTCGGTCACCTCGAAAGCATGTTCCAGCCGCTCTTCGTCGTCAAGATTAGCGAGGTTTTCGAAGTTGAACATCTCCGGTTTGTGATAGTGAAGGACTGCGTTGAAAGCCCAACCGTCTTGCCACGATGTCGTGAAGTTCGAGATGTTCACATATTGCGTATAGTTCGCGCAAACTTCTTGACACCATGCAAGGAGTGTTCTCTCTAAAGAAGTATGAGCTCCCGTGGACTGGAAAAGAGGAATCCGTTCCATGAGGGATCCCGATCGGTAATCGATCCCGAAGCTGCTGTTCGGAAACTGTTGCCATCACAAGACTGAACTCACTCGATTGGCTTGCAGAACTTCTCGGGCTTGCCAGTGGAGAATGATGCTCCATATTAAGCCGAGCGTCAGCTTGACGTTCCCGTCGACGATATCGTTCGTTGATATATTGACGAGTTTTACGTTCTGTGAACCCAGGACTTGCAGAGCTCGGGTGACATTGTTCATGTGATGTACACGGAGCCGCCCTTTTTCCCTCGGAAGTGTACGACTGCATAGAACCTCGAGCAGTAGGAGGAGCTTTGTGCCGTCCCGCAAGTCCTATATCGAGGAGGTGGATCGGTAAAAAAACGTGATCGAGATTCGAAACTAGCTTGTGAGTGCAGATTTTCCCAGAGCTGAGATTTTGGATACATTGAACCTATAGTTACCAAAAATAGATCTCTGATGGGTTCGTGTCCTCCTTGGAGTAGCCTCTGATTGATCCATTTGGCGAAAGCCTTTTTCTGAACGTCCTCCCGCTCATCTGTGGGTAAAAAAATCCTTCAGACACAGCTGTAGTGAAAATCGCGATTCATCGTGAGCGTCAGCGCCTCGTTCGAAACTCGCACAGCTCCCTCGGAACAGTATATTTTTGATTTGTCGTCTCCGACCGAAAACTTTTCCGAAGCAACTTGACCCCGCTGAGAGCGATCGGGCCGAATCGCTCAGATACCGGCGTTGGGTTAAACAGAACCTCCATCGACCCAGCCGAGAATCACGCATGCAACAGGTGTGCCTCCGACGATCGACCGGATATCCAGACCGCCACAAAAACTCTCGAGCAGCGATGTGGTGGAGTGCACAGCCAGAATCGGGTATAATTCGACGGAGACATTTGTTCTGGGTTTCCGTTCCCCAGCTAACTACCTTTGGTCAACTTGCCACTCACTACTCTGGAACTTCGAGATACGACAGCAAGCGGTGTTTCACAGTAACGAGGTGTCTCCCTCGATCAGGAGCGAGTCCACCCTTATTCTTCCACAGCTCTGGTCCGGGAAGCGGTAAAACACTTCCATTCGTGATCGTGCCTTCATCGGGCTGTCACTGACCATCGGGCGTGGACTCGGTGCTCAGCACTCCGGCGACGTCAGATGTAGCTCAAGCGTCCGGCTCACCTTGCACGTTGGAATCCATGCTTATCGGCTCCTCCTATTCATTGATCCTGACTGTCATGATAAGGAACACATGATCGGCGAGGGACCAGGCTAATCTGACTCATAGATAAACTTCTCCATAAACACCAACACACACGATTGGTTGTTGTTTTCTTCTCCTCGGATCCGATCGGGGCTCCGCCATGTTGGGTGAGAGGCAGTTGCGCACATGCTTAGCACTCCAATAAAGCCCTAGGGAGCTCATGTCGAGCCGCCGGCTGACGAGCGGTATTCTGATATTGTAGGAGCCTCTGATCTGAGCCCTCAGCAAGATGCACGACCATCGACGCAAGGGAACCTTCCGCGATTCAGCTTCGCTCCTCCCCCGATGCGGAATATTCTCAAACGGCTCATATACCCGCGTAATTTAGCCGGAAATCAAAGGATGGATTCATAGACCCTGGATTGTCACATAACTTTTGACATCTGAACTCAAATGTCGCAGGAGTGCCACGGTGGCTAAATTCGACTAACCGAAACTCTCTGTAGAAGCTGTCTGGTGACGAGTGCAGTACTGTGCTTGCAGGGTGGGAATCCATCTGAGAATCCGTAGCTTCGAAGCGGTATCGATTGCGTTCTGCACGCTCAGACGATTCCCTCTGAAGTCCGGCATGGGTCTCGGGGCGACGGCGGTGCTCCGGCTCTCATGCCATGTGGAGATCTGCACTAAGGGCTTGAACTTCGGCCCTGTAGCGAGACCCGGGAGCTCTGCTGCAGGGGAACCCTTGGCACGACCCGTATATCTCGACACCCGGGGATAAGGAGTGCTTCTCCTGCCCGACTCGGATGCGTTCCTCTTGCTCGATCTCTCGGAGAGTCTGATCTGAGCCTGTCTCAGCTCTTCGATATACGGCGCTTGCGGTATCGGGAGTCGCAATATTTTCACAGGGGTCCAAAAGTCGTCCCTGTTCACCAATTCAGTAAGCGAATCACCGTCTCCGCATGTTTGGAAGGAATCTGCGCTCTCACAATCACTGAGCTGCTCCTCTGCATCGACGACCATCCTCTCCGTGCTTCACTGGATTCTTCACTCACTCAGACCTCGACTCTTAGAGTTTGCGACATGCAAGTTCGAAGATCGCACCGATGGGGGATTCCAAAAGCCTGGCAATTCAAGCATGAACTCGTTCATCGCACAGTAGCAGGGAAGCCGAAAACGACAGCGTAAATCACAGAGACCGCCACTAAAACCAGAGCCGCCACAGTAAGCCCGAAGAGAACCTGGGAGCACAATCGCAAGCCGGGAACTGCTTGAGGAGAACTCATGACTGAAGACTGAATCTTCGACAGGAACGTAAAGTGGAACTCAGCAGTGCGATGCTTCGGAACTCCGGACGATCAACGCTCGTGCTATCGGAGGAGGTGCTGAGACTAGCGGGGGCGTAGCTTCTACATAGAAACCGCAAGTTTCGAAACATTTCTTTTCCGGCGAACGGAAGACATTAGAGCGAGCAGACAATGCCCGGAGTGTTTCAGTAGCAACTCGTGGGTTCTCACTCAAACTGTGCGTTCACCGGCTGGACTGCTAAGGTGGAAATGAGCTGCTTGGATGATGTTCGATTGGAAACCACAGGCGCGAGAGGCTTGGTGCTTCTCAGGAGGGGCGTTAATGTCGGTGTCAGTTTACCGTCACAACCCTCAGTGGTTTTCCTTTCTTGCTCTGTCTCACCTCCCCGGAATAATGTTCACCCGGAACGATGATTCGGCGGAAAGGACAGCGTGAAGAATAAGGAGCATACGCTGAGCATGTTCAGGTGAACCCTTACGAGACTAGCAGATTCGGAATGCCCTGCGAAGTCCAGCGTGCCAAAGCGGGCCCGGAAATAATGCTCCCGTTTCATTTCCGTCTGGAATGATTCTGTATTTATTAACAGTGATCAAGCATGGCGCAAATAGAACATCCCGAGCCCCACGGCCTGGGGACGAACATTATTCTACTCGTCCGCCATCAGCCTCTGAGATCTGGATGATTTTGTCGATTTTCTCTTCGTCCGGCAAGATGCTGAGCGGCTGCCAATCGAGAATCGGTGACGGCTTGAGAACGTCTTTCTTCGAGGCTGGCAGTGGCTCGCTGAGGAACAAATCGTGCTCGAGAGCCTTATGACAACGGAGTCTCTGGCTTGAGTCGTATCTGAGCCACATGGAGGCGAGATCTCTGGCTTCGGGGAGCACGTCGGGAAGGAGTTGTTCCCAAGACAGTCCATCGTTAGCAGGAAAATGAATTTTGTTATAGTCTGGCAGTCTTGTGTGACCGGGCCAATTCTGTTCGGTTGGTGCTCCTAGCGCGCTCAGGACCACGCCGAGTTGTTCGATGTCGTTCTCGCTACGGAACAACGGGAAACAGTTGAGCATTTCCGCAAAAACACACCCCACCGCCCAAAGATCAACGCCTTCGTCGTAGAGCTGAGAGCCGTACAACAATTCCGGTGCGCGATACCAGCGCGTGGCAACCTGGTGCTCGTAGCGACGGTTCTCCACGATGAGACACGCTTGACCAAAGTCGGCGATCTTGAGCGTGCCTTCCATGTCTATGAGGAGATTCGCGGGTTTTATGTCTCGGTGCATCAACCCGTTGATGTGGCAGTAGCCGAGTCCTTTGAGAAGTTGGATGAGATACGTTTTTATGTGGGATATCGGGAGCTTCTTCTCCGAATGGTATATCAGTGCCGAAAGGTTGTGGGGCACGTATTCCAGGACGAGCACCACGCTCGGTCCATGTGGAAAAACCTCGATCAGTCGGATTATGTTCTCGTGACAAAGATACTGCAAGCTCTTCACTTCCCGGAACGCGTCGATCGGAAATGGTTCAGTGGGACGACGCTTGAGGATGATCTTCTTCAGGGCAACCGTCTCGCCGGTCGAGTTGCTCGTGGCTCGTACCACAACTCCGTGAGCGCCCTCGCCGACGATGCCACCGACGTCGTAAGCGAACATCTCATGCGTCACTGTGCATGTGTCATTTCGGAGATGTTTTCCGGAACTACAGACCCGGTCCGAGTCTCGTCAGCTGTTGATCCCTAGTTGCCAGGACAACGGGAGCCGTGAAAACTCGTGCACGGTATCGTGGTCTCCGATTCGAGCGAAAGGAATGGCAAACCGAGCCACACGAGCAGAAAACTTCCGATCGGCGGAATTCCTCTCAGTAATTCGATGCCGATTACAGCTACAGATTTTACCTGCTGAAATATTCCTTCGATGCCGGATGAACATTGTCTGGGGGACCATGAGCTCCCACAACTTCCGGAAGTTCACCGTTCACTCACTCAGTGACAGGGCAGACTTCTCTTTCGTCGAGAACAGGCTTCCGAGGGCACGCGCTCGCTCTCACGCGTTTATCTTTGCCTCTCTTCCGACTTATCTTTTCGAATGTTTGGGTTCATCATTGAGAATGTTGCGCGCCGTTTTCGCGAAAGACCAAGATTCCGCCGCAGGTATTTCGTTCTCTGAACCAATCACGATCACCGAGCCGCGGGGGAATCGAGTCAACGAAATCGGTAGCGCTCGCTGGAAACACGGTCCAAGCGTTCCGAAACCTTTTTGTGGCTCGAGTTCCCGCACGAGTAACCTGTCTATCTGTCTAGCTAACGAGAGCCGAGAATATGGAATTACGCATCGATACGGAGTGCAGTCCCGTCAAATAGCCGAGCTTTGCGACAAGAGACATGGCTCGCCGAGAACCTCCAAGGAAAACCTGGGAAACCTCCCTCACGACATCGAGATATCGATCAGACTCCAAAAATTATTTACTCTCGCCACAGGGAGACTCATCGGAAGGAGCGAAGCATGACTCTATTACCGCCAACAAAGGCAGAGCTTTTAGCAGTACTCACCTTCGTCATTCTCTGTGTGGTCATCTTCCAGCGGGATGAAAGCATCTTCGCAACTCTCCGCTTCGGACTCAGCTTCCTCGTCTTCCTCGAGGTTTCCCGATGAGGATGTCGCGTCTTCCGTGCTCACGTCGATCTGAAAAACTAGGAAACTTTCGGTTCTCCGCTGGAAATTCCGTGGGCACTGGACCCGATGTTCATATACGGGACACAGAGTCTGTGGAACCCCCTCCGGTCCCCGGCCGTACCGGTTCAAACCCAGAAGATTCTGGATCGTCACCGATGACTGGATATTTCAATGGGCCTTCGGCGCCCACGAAATGCCCGATTCGCATTTCTTTATCATTTGGATCTCGACTCACCCATCTGACGCTGTCCCAGTCGGAGAGGGATGGAGGACTGGGAGCGAGTGGAGTAAGAGAATCGCTCCTCAATGCCGGTTCCATGGATTGCTTATCGTTCGTCGTTTCGGTGAAACTCGTGCCCTCGGCTTGCGGCTGGGCGCGACTCGATACGGGAGGACTGAAATCACGGCGTACCTGCTGCTCGAGTTCTTCGATCAGCGCTTCCTCCGTTTCCAGAAGCTCGAACTCATCTTCGGAAAAAAGCTCGAACCTCGCCTTTGACTCGTTCTCTCGATTTCTTGCTTCTGTGTATATAGGTTCTGTCAAGCGTTTTATTTTCTCTAGAACATCTTCGAGAACTTCGTTGAGATTTGCTATCCTCGAGACGCTCCGGAATGCCGGTACGGAGTCCGCCGGAGACAGATCCCCCCCTTCTCGCTCGTCGGGTCCGACCGTACTTTCGTCCAAAGGGGCATCCGACGCTGCTCCATCGGGAGCTGGGTTGTCTCTGGCTGCGGCCTCCGACAGAACCTCCGGATTTCCCGAGGTGGGAGCTGGATGCTCCGCTTCTCTCCTTTCCTGAGTCGCTGCTATCAGATTGGCGTCATCGCTGGGCTCCTCTTCGGTCGAGACGGACGTCACCGGGGATAGCGTTGTGTGCATTTGTGATAATTTGGGCGGTCTCTTCCGGAGTCTGGGATGCGGGAATACTTGAAGCTGCTGGTTTCTCGAGCTCGTCAAAACGGTGCAACTCGATACGCGCATGGCTTTCGACGGACGTTGGAGTTCCGGCTGATGCGTCGACGGGCCCGGGTCAGAACTCGAGCGACTGTCGATTCTCCTGAGGTAATTGGGGCTTTTAGGTTTCACTGACGGGCCGTGGATCTCGACGAAGTCGATTTTGATCTCAGGTGACGGGCCACCAACTTCACACTGACGAAAGTTTTTCTTCTCGTGCTGCAGCATGATCTCGAGTCCAGTTCTCGCGGAGTGAAGAAGCGGCTTCGGCTCCGATTGATGAGCTGAAGGCGACTCAGGTGCCATGATGCGGTCTTGATCGATGGAGAAAGCTTTTTGTAAAAGCCTGGTGCCCTGAATTGGCTTGTTCCGGCGAATTCCTTCGAGAACGTCTCCGTTCTTCCCGGACTGGAGGGAACCCGTCCGCAGAGAATTTTCGTGAGGATCACTGTCGTCGAACAGCTTGTTCTGATAAACTTCGATGGCGCTTGTGCTATCGCGGGCTTTCTTGTCCTTGCGGAAAAACTCCCGCATGAAATCCCTAACGTGGTCAACGGGTTGACGGCGGGCATCCACAACAGGTTGGCTGAGGGATCTCTTGACCACTCTCCGCCTAGGATCCCCAGACTCGAGGTCATGCTCGAGTCTCTCAGCAAATCGGACCTCTTTCTTATCTCCCATGGAGTTTGTGCGCCTCAGGATGGACTTCCGCTCGTCTCCGGTCTGGTTTTCCATCGGCGCTTCTGTTCCGGTATCCCTCAAGGGAGAGCCTTGAATAGAGACGAAGATAGAGACGGCAGACAGGCGTAGAGAAAGAAGGATGAGCCGAAGATAAAGAGATAGGATTTTTCTCACGCGCCGGTTCAGCGTTGCTGTGAATGCAGGCGACGGAGACAACGCCTGACGGGACCGGCAACAGACATTCTGATTCCTTTCAGAGTGATTTCGAGATCACATGTTTGGGCTCGCCAATCCGCTTCAGAGAAGAAATGCGAGCCGGAAAGATTCTCCCACAAGCTTGCCTAAACTCGAGCCTCTGGGTGTTTTGCTTTCATTCGGAAGAACTGCTATCGGGTCCTTTTTCACAGACTGAGACCCAGACGAGCTCATGGAAAAGGGCCGCGCGAAGAGTCACTGACATAAGTTTCTCGGATGACACGAACTTTTGCACCTAATTTTTAGACGCGATTCAGCGGTTTCACGAAATCCTGTTCGTAACTGACGATGAGCGAGATTTCCTCTCCGGAGAGTTCGACAGCGACAAAGCCTGCCAGGGAGGTTTCTGCGACCAAGAGAGCTCTCACTCTGCGATGGGCCCGCTCTAAGCAGGCCCCGCTCCGGAGAGGGAAAGCTCGAGCATGGGAGAAAGAGAGTACATTGTCTGATTGAACCCTGATGGTTGATTCAGTTCTTAGCACGGAATGTGTAATGACTATCGCCAGGAGTTCTTTCGGTCGGAATTCCGCGGGCTCCAGCAGGTCCCCAGAGGATACCCGATAGAGAAATGTGCTCCAGAAATTTCCGTGTGAACTGTTCCGAGCGGATTAGATGGTGAGACTAGCTCGTCAGTATTCGATGAGTGATATCCGGAAAGGATATATTGCGAATTCGCGGAATATGTTCCTCGAGCTGGTCGTCGTCATCAGTGCCGCCATGTCAACAATTGATCCAGAGATAGTTCAGTCCCCTCAATGTGATATGTGATATGCAAAAGCGGAACCCGAAAATTCATTGGAGGTGGAGATCGAGTGCGGGGTCGCGAGGAGAGCAATGATCTTCCATTTTCGAATTCGGAGAAAGCCTCTCCCGCGCCAGTGGCGCGCCGCCTTCCCCCCCCCCACCCATCGTTTGCCTCGCAATCGGAACCTCCCGGAGCGGTCGATTCTCGGACTGGAGAGTCGGGGAAAATGTTGCAAGGACGTCGTTCTCCCATTCGTGGTGGATGCTCTCTCTCTCTGACAGGACCGGCTTGCTGGAAGCCCGGACCGAATATGTTGCGACGACATCGTCTGACGTTTGCGAGCGAGAATGCGGGGCGCGAATTTTTGAAACCGCCGTGTGATGACGTTTGTTTTGGAGGAAACCACACGCGGAGTCGCTGGTGCGAGCGACGCGTGGAGCAAACTCGAACAGAATAAGGTCTTTCGGAAGCGATCAATGTATAAGACCACTTGTGATCATGGCTGTGGGAAAAGTGAGCTGGTTTCTGCTATCTGGTGCTTGTTTAGTTCTGGTGGTTGCGCTGTGGATGAATCGAAGCGATGAGAATCAAACTCAGCATAGACTTCAGCTAATTTTGCAAGGACTGCTCAAAACAGAAACCGAGGTAAGCAGCCTAGAGATGTTCAGCGGGGCGCTGTTCAGGCCTGCCCGCTATCTCTCGACAATCATCGCGTATTCCTTCTGTAAAACATCGAAATCCATGACCTCTTCTAGTTTATGAGAGAAGATGAAGCGGTAACTGCTCTCGGCCTTATGATCGCTCGACTGAGAATGGAATTCTTCGATCAATGGCCCCTAATGATCCGCACTCCCAGGAACACTGATTTAATGAGTCAAACATGCTTTACTTCACAGCTGCAGGTGGAGCCCTCGTTGAAAATAGCGGTAGGTTTCGGGGCCTGCCTGGACGTCATCGTACCCTCAAGACATGTTTTTAGAAACCTGAAAGCGCCGGAGCGACCGAGAAATCATGACGTCTTGAATACGCACGATGAATTACTGGAAACTTTCACCTACTACTTTAAACATGGAGCCGCCGCGGAGTGAGTTCAAGAGCTAGTCTCGGAAGATCTCCTGGTTCGATTCCGGGTATAGATGTGGATACGACAGAATTCGAGGAATTCATCTTTCATTCATTTTTGAATGTATCCTCTCTCCCTTTAGGCGGTTTGTCGCTAATGCCACACTGTTCCGTGAGGTTCTCCAACAAGCCAAGTCAAGTTCCGAGTGGCGTTCGACGCTCGGGGGCAACGCAGCTTTGTTGGCGACACGTTTCGCTCTTGAGGGAGCTCAAGTGCTACTCGGAAGTCATATGTCTGCTGATCTCAAGGAAAGCTTACCAGAAGGGGTCACGGTCGCGGGCCCGGAAATAGACGAGGATGACTACCACATGCTATTGGAATATGCCGCCGGCGAAAAATTCATCCAATATAAAGCTCCCCGAGCCAACAGGTGATTTTTCGATGAGTCAAACGCTCACGATGGAGAATTCATGAAATTTCCGGTGAACGATTTCAAGGAACCTCGAGCTCGAGGTTTCGTGGAGAAATATTGAGAATTATCATCATCTCCCCTGAGGTTCATCATACACAACGACCACGTGAACCCGCGATTCCGTTCCATAGAGGGCTTCGACGATAAGATGAAGAACTTCCAACCGTCTCTTTTCGTCCTCGGTGGGGTGCACGTCATGGACAACTTCCCATATCGAGAAGGTATCGATTCTCTTCCAACGCAATGCTGCTCGGGATGTTCGATAAGCACAAGATGAGCTCAGTGGTCGTTTCCCGATCCAGTCGCATACGCTCAGACGGAATCTGGCTCCTTCCTGGCCCCTCTTCGATGCGTTCATTGAGAATTCTGCCGGTGTCCTTTCCAGGACAACTCGATTCGTCCATGAACCGATTGCTGACAGTTCTGCAAGAAATTCCGACGAGTACCGCGATCCATTTCGAAATGGGCTCGTTCGTGGATCATGACCTTCTGAAACGGATTGTCCGCCAAGTCCTCCCTTTATCGCAGTCGCTCGGTATGAACGAGCAAGAGCTCGCGAATCTGAACTCGTTGTTGAAATACGACAACATCTCCTACGTGTCGGATAGCTATCCTCGGGTAGCCACGGTTCTCGATCAGACGCGGGAACTGTTCCAGTAAGTCCGTCTCCTTGCTCGCTCATCCATCAGCGGACGATCATTCGATCGCACGTTCTGCGCTAGATTCGCGGCGCGAGATTCCCCAATACATTGAGACAGTATTTCGCAGGAGTCTCTACGATTCAGCGCCGAACGGACGACCACTGTCGAGAATACATATCCACACGCTAGCCTTCCAAGCGATCCTCCGAGTCGTCCGAGATCCTAAACATTCCGTGTTCGAATGGATGAACACACGGGCTTCGGCGGCGAAATCCGCTCTGACAGCGCATCGTCACACTTGTGGCTCACACGACATAGACATCAACCGAGCGAAGGTACATACCTGAAAGAGAGAGGCTGGCCGAGAGCCCTCGATCGGAATGGGAATGGACTGCTTGTGAAATGAGTAATTTCTCCTTTCGTGCTACCGATGTATAAACATTCCAGATCATCATGGACGATTCCTTCACAACTACGAACGGCCCGAATCGACAGCGGATTCCTTTCGATCCCGACGAACCTGTACGTTGCTGGAACGAAGTGCTCCAGGGAACGAAAGTCGAAGTCGAATTCTGTGTGGCTCCCGTGCTAGTCTGTACTAAAGTTCTCCAGACAGGTGGCGGAGGCGACAACGTGAGCGCAGCCGGACTCGTCCTGCAAGTTTAGACGTGACTTGGAGTCGTTGAGTCGTGGGATGTCTCGAAGATAGGATCTCTGACACCGAGACCGGCGCTCTGGTTACCTAGGATTGAATAATGTGCGGAAGTCATGACAAGACGTGACACTTTATGGAATGAATTCCTTGCTGACGTCAGAGACCTTGAACCTTTTCCCACGGTCTCGTGAAAATGTGGAGTGTTTGTAAAGTTTTCTTTTTGTTATCGTAGTCGGTTTGGAGCTCGTGGCGGCTGCGTGTTGTTGCTGACGATATACTCTAACACAGCTGCTCGAGCTTGAGCGCACCTTTATTCCAAGGATTCTGTTATTTCTATCGGGAATAAAAATCTATTCACTAAGATTTGCGCCTCGATTATTCTCGGTATCGTCGAAGCTCTTCCCTCGAGTTGGTCCTAGTGAGGACGAATAGAATGGAGCAAAATACCTGCTACATTTAGCTTGGACTGAGAACGATCTAGAGTCTGATAAGCTTTACATAATTTTATTTACATGAAACAAACGTACCTAACAATGATGATAATTTAGTCCTTACTTCATCACCGCTATTGTCCACAATGCCGAAGTGATCATCATGTAGGAGAAATAAATTAGAAGACTCGAACTAACTAATGAAGACATCGAGAAATGAACTGTGAAATCTCTGCTCTGCAACACCGCTTTCGTTCGCAAATCGTCTGTCATGGATTGGGAACGTTCCCGCGTTGAAAGCTAAGTGGCCAGAGATTGATTAGGATGTATTCCGCAACTAGATCAGCTCCCCCCTTGAGTCCTTTGAAACGAAGAAAAAATGCCATTGACAAGATCAGGATTCCACAAAGTATGCTCTTCAACGATTTGAACGATTTCCGAATCTTCATTCAAGATTTCTTGCGCATGGATTCGTCAGCGTATGAATGCATCGAATGTTGCGGAAATTTTGTTCAGCTATCGCTTCCCGACTTCCCGTCTCTATGACAGAGATTGCGAGTCAGTCGGAGCGAACCGTGTTTCTCGCTTGAACTCAACCCCGAAAAAAAGTTTTCGGGCTGAGCTCGAGTGGACCAGGAACATGACCGCAAGCACCGATCTAGAATGTCGGGTGTAGCGTCCGCCGAGCGGAAGAACGCCCCCAAACCGAGAAGCACAAAAATACCGTATTCGAGACGTCGGCGGGATTTTGGAGGGAATGACCAAGTCGGCGCCGACGCTCGAGAGTTGAGAGAAGTCTCTCTCGACCGTCATCTGATTGCGCATATGACCGACGGTCATGATGAGCCGTCACTCAAATGCTCTAGTTGTCGATTCGCCTGCATTGAATGCAACGCGAAAAGGTTGCGTTTCTCATCCGACTGATCCGACGGAAAACTCAGGGAAGATAATTGGGATTTCGTCGGAAACTGAACCACCTTTCCATTCCCCACCGTGCATTCCCTTGCATTTTCCTTCCCCTCAAGAATGCTGCTATGGCTCCGAGAGTTTTGGGTACCGTTCGTTTGGGCTTTCCTTCCTCACCGCGCGTATACATAAAGTTCACTCATTCGTTGTAGTATTCCTTACCTATGACAGGTAAATGAAGATTTTGAATTGAAATAATTTCCCCTAAATTCGTCACGCATATCTGTGCGACCATCCAGCTGTCGCTTCTACGAGATCTGCCCTTCTCCGTCGTGCTTCCACTCGATTTGCATTCTGAGTGATAGAATACTATTTACATTATGAGTTTTGAGAAGGGCTTTTTTTCTCATCAGGAGGTCCACCGGGTCCCGCGCTAGCTCTATCAGGGTTCCAACCAAAATCTTCTCCTGCATTCTCCGGATCTCCAAGCACTCCGCCACCATTATTCGGTGGAGGTGGTTGAGCTGCTGCCGCATCGTATTGAGTGTTCTCTAACCGCGTTATTAGTCTCTCGTCCTCATCTCCGAATTCTCCCCCCATCAATGAGGGCTCTCCCACGACCATGACATCCTGCTCTCGCAGAAACGGTGGAGGCGGTGGGGTGGGGTAACTGCAAGATGAAACATCTTCTTAGGATAACTCTCAGGACCTACCTCCATTCATGTTCTCAAACTCAAGCTGCACTATTTCGCGTCCATATTCAACACGTCATTGCTCAGATATGAGCCCGAAGCCCGATACAACCTGGATCTAGTCTACCTAAATCAGGCATACACAGAGTATATCAGCCGTGTGTTCAGAAATGTATACGTCCATTTCTCAATCCGATATACTGCTTGGTGATGATCGAATCGAGATCACAATATTCAGGTCGAGCCGTCTCCACGACGGCGTATCGCTTGAACACCCACAATCATCCGCTCGATAGGTATTCGGACTCACCCTTGCGATCCTGGACCGCCCGGAGGTCCCCCCATGAAGGGTTGAGGGGGCCCCGGGCTCATATTCTTCTTTTTACTGCCAGCACCGGTCGTTGCCGTGGACGTCTTCCGCTTTCGCCGTTTGGAGGCAGGTCTCTGAGACTCTGTGGGGTTGCCATAATTAGTTTTCATGAATCGATCAGAAACTTCTCAGAAGCAAATTATTCGAGGGCATCAACTTAGTTCCGGCATGCAACAGGCTGATTCATGGATGTAGAGGTACGGATGAACATCGAGACGGCAACAGGCGAGGAGATCAATGGAAACACGTTTCCGACCCGAACATCGTTCCGAAGACTCAGGACGGCAGGTTGTATTCGATAATTAGGTCAAGAGAATAAATAAGCTACGACGCATTTTCCGAAGTCTCGAGCTGACACGGAGCTGAACACAACATACAGAGAACAAGACGAACCAATCGGAACCAAGGAAGATTACAGGGGAAAGAAGAATGATCAGCACGAGGCTAGGCGGACGCAAAATGAAGCAGGGTTAGTTTGAAGATCGATAAACACAAACCTAAGTCTGGGTTGGGCATCATTTTCATGTCGTTTGGTGGCATTGAAGCCCTGACCGGTGGGGGAGCTGGAGATTCAGAAAAAAGAATCGTTCTTATTAGAGACCGACCCAGGGAAATCAGAATAAGGGGAGAGATGAAACGACGTCTTGCCTCCCGCGAGCTCGATTTCGGAAAGAAAGAGCACGCGGTGAACCAAGGCTCTTCGATTAAGACACCCAGGCGACAGCTTTTGACTATTCCTCTTCATTCTGGATATGGCGGAGCGAAACCGTTTTTCGATCGAAGACGAACCGAGTAGCAGTTCCGAGAAAATGAAACCGAGGAACGAAACGATAAAAAATTCAGTCGTAACGAAGGATCAGTCAACATAGCATAATTCAATCCGAGATTTGCAGACGTTTCGAGTCTAAGACCTTTGTCGTCTAGACGTCACATCGTTGTCAAAATTCGTGATCAAGAGACCGGCAGTGTGAGAAGAGCGCTATTTAACACAAGCTTCAGCACACTATGCAGTTTATCTCGAGCCGGCTTCCGGCGCAGCGATTCGGGAAACAGCCACACGGTAGCGAGCCGCGGTCTCGAATCCGTGGCGGAGAGGTTTGATAGAAGCGGCTTACCTGGTGGAGCGACCATCCGCTGCCATTTTTGAAAGAGCGTAGTCTTCAGGCAGTCCCGTGGAGACAGTGTGTATGCCTTGTGCCGACTCATCAACTCCTGCATAGGCTCGAGGATCACACAAAGCCGCAGGTAGTTTAAGGTAGAACCTGTCAAGCCCTGCCGAGTGCAGTTCTTCGACATCTGGTCCATCACCTAGAGTCAAAGCAGCGCTCACTATGGGACTTGAGCTAAACAGCAGGATAATGATTCGATGGGGATTTCTTCTTTCGATAGATGAATGGGCAGAATCAGATCGAGCCCGCTCACCTGGGGGTCCTGATGCAGTGCGATGAGCGCCCTGGGCACCAGTTCCCGGTGCGTCCTGGTGGCGAAGTGCCAGCTTTTGATCCTCATGATATCTTCGATTGTGAACTCGACGATCAGCCGGCCCTCCGTCGCCACCAAGACTGCATTGTCTCGGGACGCCTGGTCCTTCAACGGGTCAGGACGGCCACCTAGGGTCGGATAGGCGGCGTTTATTCATGTAGATTATTCTCTGAGAATGAGCTCGTGAAAGCCTCTGGAATAAGGGATCCATCCGCTCCACAGATTTTATCACTCACCGGGGAATATAGGCGATGACGGTTTGCCGTGCGTCGTGTGCATGAAAGCTTGGTCGCAGTCGAGGGAGATGAACGAGTTATGAAAAGACTCTCGCGCTTGCTTCAGTTGGAACTGCAGCTCATTAACACCGCCATCGAAAATTGAGCGGAAATATCGTGGGATGAGGGTTCGCCCTATCGTGTAGCGCCTCGGCCCGTCCTCCAGACAAAACGTTAAGGTCAGAGTTGCGTCATCCTCGAAAAATTCTGTTGCAAACGCATCCCACCACAAATTGTCGCTGTCCTGAAATGCGCCAGATATCATGGATTAGGGGTGTACTCTCGGGAGCCGCCGAACCGCAGGTTGCCACGAATTGAATCGGGAATCATCCTGATAAATTCACAGTATCTACCCAGAGGATTCTAGAATAGATGCCCTGAAGGATGAACAATCGCTTTCCCTCTTCACTTCTTATGCAAGTCTATTCTACTTCTGCGGTAGAAAGGACCGAGAGCCCCGATGAACTCACCTCTGTTCGCTGGGATAATCTCTTGTTCATCTCGTAAATTCGATACTCTGTTTGGCCGAAGAATTGCGCGTGGTGCCGAGGCGGAGGTCTCGATGGGAATGGTCTGGAACGAAGAGCATGCTGTCATCTACAGGGAATTTTCGCTTGAAGGAATTCGGGATTCGAACCGGATGCTGAACCGCCCCCGATCGATATCCTAGAGCAATACATAGGTCAGGGATTTCTACTACTGAGACTTCGAGACCCTATGACTCCCCAGATTTTTCTCAGCCGGCCTGTCGTAGATTCCCCAAGAACGGTATTCCTTTCTCCCCGATCGCTCTGCGGAATAGCTCGCAGCAGATGAAGGTTGAGTAAAGTTATATGGGCCGCTCCAAGAACACGCAGAAGTCACTGAACTTAGCGGCCGAACGCGGCAGCTCGGTTTCATATGGTGCCGGTCCGACGCAGCGGAGTCGTTTCCAAAAAGCTTATTCTCCTTAGTTCGTCGAGACTTACTCTGATAAGACAGAAGCTATAGAATCGGGCACTCGAGATAAGCGCTCGGTAGCTCATGAAAGACGTGAGCGACGTAGCCCGTGCAAGAACAGGAGAGCCAGATGGAACAAGTGACAAATTGCACTCCAGCACTGGCATCGTATCTAGAGTCTGTGCCTCCGGACGGCTTTTCGGAACAAGTGGGTCGTTTCTCACCGCAAATGACCGGATGATGGATTCGGGTGGAAGAAATCCCGCACGATACCTCCGACCACTGTCATTTTTACTGGTTTCCGTACACTCGTCTTTGCTCCACGCTACAAAGACGGTAGGGAGCTACAATCCGATGCAGCTCATCACAACACCTCCCAGAAAAAACACCGGTGGCTGGGAATCAGAGCGCACGATGCAAATTCGTAATCGTCAACGACAGTGTTGACAGTGTGAATGTTCACTGTCGGCTCGAAAACGTCAATCAGATCCCAGAGCGAGTAACCCTCCCGGACGTTTTCGACGCAAGAAAAGGGGAACGCGAAGAATCTTCGACAAGTGAAAGCGTTTCTTTCTCCGGCGCTTCTTTGCGGGCGAGCAAGCGAGGGTGGGGGAAAATTATATCAACGGCGACCGTGTTTTCGAGGAGAGAGTCAGGAATAATCTTTCCTCCCCCTATCCGTCTGCTGTCGGTGCGCCGCAACTGCTGCCGAGACGGCGCACAACAGATGGAGCACCAAGAGACAACTCGCCGTGCTCGCGTCTGTGAGTGTCCGCCGTCTACCAACTGCCCAGTGCGCTCTTCCATGCCGTTTCAGTGTCAGTAGCAGAGCAGGAGCAGCAGCAGAAAGTGTGTATAAAGAAACGATGATGGCGCTGGTGGCCGGCCTGCTACGAGAAGGAACCACAGCGCTATATCTAAACTGATTAGACGCCGCCAAATCGGCGGGAGAAGGCGAAAGAGGGAAACTGCGTTCAGGAAAGTGGCGCGGCGGACCCGAAGTATGCGTAACGAGAATTCCGGCACTCGTTCATAGTCATTTCAAATTTATCGGCGTAAAGCGTGCGGATTCATCTCCCTTAAATTTCCGACGACCTTCCGGATGAATCGGAGAGTCGTAGCGTCTATGGTCGATGGGGTGGAATTCCTTATAGGTCTCCATAACGTTACTCCAGGTCGCTACAAGGATCGGAAAGCCCGGGGGGATTTACCCGATTGCATGCCTCAAATCCTAGGAGAAGTTTCCCGGTTTGCAAGGCATGGTCATAGATTTCGATGAGACATCGTGAAATTGGAGGCCGGGAATCGACGCGTGGCCATAGCTAATTCGGTTCGGAATCAGACTTGAGGAACTTGGGGCTATTTCCCGGGTCGAACAAGCTTCGGTAATTATGGTAATGAAAAACTGTTCGGAACGACTCTTCTCGATAAATACTCACGGTGGATGGGGAACCATATGCGGGTGAGGAGGAGGTCCATGAGGCGAATGCATAGGAGGCCCAGGGGGTCCATGAGGGGGCATCTGACCACCTGGACCCATCGGAGGTCCATGTGGGTGTCCCGGATGGGCAGGATGGCCCGGATGTCCGCCCAAACTATGTGGCGGAGGATGCGGAGGGTGAGGCGAGCCATCCATGCCCTTCCAATGGGGACTCCCATCGGGGGGACCCAAATCCCCCCCAGGCCCACCGCCGAAATTCACCGGCTCACGCTTTACGTTCATTCAATCTGTAATGAAAATTCGGATGATTTAGAGGATATACCTGCGTCGGGAGGAGGAAATCCGGTACGGGAAATAGAGTTCAGCAGTCTGGGTCAACTAGATGCCGGTTTCATCTTTCAATTTTTTCTTAGGGTACTGAGATCCTCCGAGACTCCAGTGACCGGAACCGACCAAGGACCATGGATTCCACTCCACTACGAGAGCGGGATTTTTCCTGCCTGCGATCTCCCTAATGGGGACCGCAGAATACGTATGTCTTTCTGAAGAAGCTCTCAAAAATCTCGGGAGTTCTCACATGATAAGTTCGTCATCCGGGACCGAGAGCTCAGCAATAGCTGAACGCGAGAATCGGAAATCTCATCGAACGCAAGAGTTAGCTCTGACCGAGTGTCGAGACTATCGAAATGTCTTCCGTCAGCTGGACTGTAAATCATCGAAACGCTCTCACGTGTCCAAGCAGCGCCTCGTATTTGCAGTTGCAGCGGTCCGAGCTCCAGGGAATGATTTCGAGCTTTGCGCAGCCATATAGGGTCCTCGTGAGAATACCGGAAGGGGGAAGACTAACCCGAATTTCACACGATAAACAGTCCTGGGTACGATCGCCGTGGGCAGCGAATACGGTAAGCGTAGGTCGACAAGGGGATCGGAGAAGCGTGATTCCCGATGTGATCAATACTTCAGGATCCACTCGACTTCCGGAGGAAGCAAGCGCAACAAATATTCTGTACCGTTCGTCTATTGACGCGCCGCATGGAGCTCCAATCTCGAGCCAGGAAGTTCGAGCTCCCATAAGATTTCAAGGGACGGGGACTCTCAAGGATCCCTCTCGACTCCACCGAAGAGCAGGTGTACTAGGGGAACCATGGATGTTCACCGACGGAGACTCGTGGGGAATTCGCAGAATTAGAACCTCACGCTCGAAAATCTTGCATTCCATGGCCTGCCCAGAGTTTCACAGGCTCGCCTGAGTATCGTATGAGAATCTCGGTTCCTACAGCGGGTCCACCAGCATCAGTGGATACGAGGAACGTCATAACGCCGCCCGCCAACATCTCCCGGCGCATACCGTTAAGTTGTGATGTTTGCACTCGAAAGTCGGGAGAGTGTGAGAATCCAGTTCATGCCGATAGACGAGCAGAGCCAGCTCGAGAGAGTGGAAGCCTCGAACGAAAAACACGTTTGACGTCGGCGGTATTCGAAAGCCCGGGAGCGTCGTCGTCGTCGTTGTTGCCGCTGCCGCTGCTGCGGCCGATGGCTTTCACAGGGTTTCGTTGTTCCTCCACAGACACCAAAGACCGGTTCGAATCGAGAGATACGAGTCCTCCGCACAAAGCACTGACGCAAACCGCGCCGATTCTTACCTCCTCTTCATCCAGACGATGATATTTTGAGCTCCTAGTCGCCTCTGGCTTTACACACCACCGCTCAATCGCCGCCGACTTACTTTGTTTGCAAGCTGTCACCAAATCAATGAAACGTACCACACGGATCCACGCCTGGTTCGAGTTGTGGTACGCAATAAAATAAGGTTCACTCGACGAAGATTTCAGCTAGGGTGCAGCGACACTGCGCAAACACGAGTTTTCGCTTGAGAGGCGCCGGTAGGACTGGCGGAAGCTCGGTTGCCGGTGCGCCGGCGCTTTCAACGTATTCTCGCTCAAGATTCTCTGCATGCCGGCTGCGTACCGCCCGGCGGAAGCGCTTAGTTTCAGACTATTCTTCGACGTTTTCTATGCTCCTGTCTTAGGCAAACCTCGAACAGAGGCTACGCCGAGGATTCCTCGAACCTTCGGTCTCCTCGAGATGAGCAGGAATTCCCGGAAAACCCGAGCGCTCTCCGATAAGCCGGCTGGAATTTCGTTCCCTGAAATCCCGCTCCTTTCCCCATAGGCTCCAGGGGACTTCGCTCTGGTAGACACCGATGCGGAAATCTTGTATCCGGTGAAGGGGACCCTCGTAGGCGGGACTTGAGGGGCATTTGCCCTGCCTGACCCGCCGATTCAGACTCTGGTCAGCAGCACTCCTTGAAGCCGAACTTGCCAGAACTCCTTGAATGAAGCACAGTCAGATGCGGAACGTCTCCTAGGGAAAGCCTTCCGAGAACTCTGACTTCATAGGGATAGGGAAGATCGTTCTTCTCGGAGTGATCTCCCTGTTTCGAACGAGATTCAACAGATGGAAGGATCGGTGATCATCCGGCTTGGAAGGAGTTTTCCTCATGAGTTAATCTCATTGGTTTCTGAAGTCGGCCGCGGTGTTCCGTGGAGGATAAGGGGCTCGGCTGCAAACCTTCTTATCGGAACTCCGGACTCCTTTAGTCTGAGCAAGCCCGTTTCGCCTCCTCGCTCACGATGAGCCTTTCAGCAGGAGGGCCCGGAAATCGGCTCGCACTAGACCTCCGTAAGCATGTGAATCAATTTGCACATCTCCAGCGAGTGCATCGATAGTCTCGTTATCATCCAGGAGGGCGAGCCGCCAGACCTTCGATTGGCCGCTCTCAGGTGCTCGTTGGAACCCCTCTGAAAAGTTGGTTCCCTGGTACAAGCTCAGACACCTCCGGGATCCTCGTAGATGATATTCTTGGAGAAACGCAGTCAGCATTCGTCTCTTTGGGTATTTTTTTGCTTCTCCGCGATAGGGGCTCTCAGGGGAAATGTGCAGTCAAGATCCGCTGCTGAGCGATGTACCATTGCCCCTCGACCGGAAATGAAGGCGACAGAATCTGGGTGCAAGGTGAAGATCTCTCGGCGCTGTGAGCACTAGGATCCGACACTTTGCGGTTTCCGTTCTCCGAGCCCTGAGAAGCAGGAGGAGAACTCATTGAAAGAGCGAGCCGCTTGAAGAGAGCAAGCAGAGCTGAACTAAACCTGACAATGTCCCGGGAGAATTCCATCGTTTAAGAGAGATGGTGCTCCGACAGCTTCGGTCCTAATTAGCATCTTGAAAATGGTTTCACTTCACTCAAAGTGTCGAATGTGATCGGTCAAATGTCGACAGCGCGAAGGGAATAAGACTCTCGACTCCGTCCAGGCATAGAGAAGCTCAACGGAGCAGAGACTCCGATGATCAGGGAGGTCCACCGGCCGAAATAAATCCGCGGCTATCGGAATTTCAGGAATTGCGGAGTAGGAGCGCCGAGATTTTCTACTCAGCGTCAATCTGCGCGAGGCTTAAGGCTCGAAACCGACCCTTGGCTCAAAGGCCCTCGTCAGTTCTCTTGACGGGCAGGGCTTGGGTCTTCGCAGGTATCGTCTCGTTGACTGATGGCTTTTGCGTTTTGCAATCGATCGATGAGGGACATCGTCTTCCGTTCCGGAGCTCCCATGTATTTGGAGCTGTTCATCCGCCCCCATAGGAACCGCAATGCCATCGCTGCTTCCATCGAGTTCTTGGATTTATAGAGGCATCATCCACAGATCCATTCATTTTTGCTGAATAACCAGATCTGGAGGTCCAGTTCCTGTGCCCCAACACCGTCAGGCTTCAGGTATCTGTTACTGTCCGATTCCGCTGTTTCACACCATTCCATGACAGAACAACCAACGGGAACTCCCTCTGAGACTGACTGAATGATTATTCATACAGCTACCGTGTTTTTACCTCCCGAAATTATGTCCCCTTCGTTGACAGCCAGGAACATCCCTTTCTGCGCCACCTGCACTCTCCCCGTAGACGGCAGAGGGTTTACTGTGTCGCTGCTTCTCTCTACCGTCGGCGTCGTATCCAAGCGAGAGCTGATCGAAGCGGCTCTCTGAATCGAGCTACCGTTCCTTTCGGAATTCGAGCTTGCTCGAAATGTGGCCATCAAGCTGAGAATCGAGGATCTCGACGAGAAGTCTTTAGTTTTTCCGGGAATCCGCAGGAGAAAGGGAAGCTATTCGTTAATCAGGGTCGCGCGCGCCAAAGCTGGTCCTTGGGACAGCAGATATCCTTGGTTTCGCGGGTGCTGAAGTCTACGCCGAAACCCGTGGAGGACCGTCGGGGTGCGGGCGTTCCGTACCAGACTTGGCAGTCGGAGATGGAGACCAGAGGAACACCAAGAGGAATAAGCCTGAGATCTAGGATCCGTTCATGCGCTCCATAGACTCGACTCCGTGGAACGAACTCTCCGGGGCGCGGGGGGAGGCATCCCGGCTAGGGATCTTCAATTTCGACTGTTGGTCTCGTGTACGCGATCTCGTTTGCCCCATAGATTCCTCCATCCAAGGAGATGGGCCGGTATTCGGGCTCTGAGAACATCTACAGTGAATCCGCCGATATAGTCGATTAGAGCGAGCCGTATCCCTTGCTCCGGGCATGAGGCTTTGCGAGAGGCTTGTCCGCGAAGCAGAATTTTCAGACTTCGGGTCAGAGGGCACCGAATTCTCCCGATTCCCCGTTCCTGGTTTGGGAGTCAGGACTTCCGACCGCATTTTCTGGAGGGTGTCCTGCAAATGTTTTTCTCCCGTTCAACACAGTCATGATATCTTATTGTTAGAATATTAATTTCGCTCCGCTTGGACTTAGTGCTGAATCATGGAGCACAGGGATTCACACATCAAGGTGCATGTGGAATCGGCACATGGTCGCACATCGAGAAACGTGCGTCGACTGACATTGGGATCATACGGAGAAGGTGCGATTCTTGCTGAGAGGAATTATCGCGGCACTCTGTTGGGTCTCGCTCACATGATAGGCAGATGATTTGCATAGAGTCAAGCATGAAAGGTGAACATCCTGCTCTTGGCCGATCAAAACTTGAAGCAGGATCAATTTTGATAGATTGATAATACTCAACTCCGGAGTTCAGATGAAGCCTGCGGAGCTCGTCCGTTAGAACTTGCCACGGGGAACGAGCCAAAGTGAGAGTGTTCCACACTACACTCATAACGCCCTACACCTAGTTGGGAAGTCGCAGGATACGAGCGAAAACTGTCGTATCATCCACGTAGTTCTCACTCCACCGAAATCGGCCGGAGCAGCGCATGGTAAGCCGCTCATTGACCAACTCCGCAGATGGACGTTGCTGGCGTTCGACACCACTTATCCTCAATCGATTCCCCCGCGAAAGGAAAACTCGCCGGATTCCGTTTCATTCATAGAATCAAATTTCGGCTCCCGAAATTCCGGATCATGCGCCACCTCAGGAGTAAAAAACCTGAAGACGACAGAAGGCATGACTGGCCAAAGAAAGCTCCGGTGCACCCTCCCCATGAATTCGAAAAGTACTCTAGGGTCGCAACAATCCTTATCGGCTCTGGAGAACTGGAAATGTGGGACTTTCGACACCCAATCGCTGTATATCTTTCGCTGCAGAACTCCCTCCAACGGGGGAGTCGCACCGGATACTTTCCGTACGAAATGTAGGGAGACTCGAGTCCCTCTGCAGAAGTATGAGCTATGGGTTCCGTACCCAAGGTACGAAAACTCGCAATTCCGAATGCGGAATACGGGAACTTCGACCCCGCGCGTAGTCGCTGAGGGAAGTTGGGATTCAGCGCTAAATCTGTGGGGGCTGAGGACAGACTTCCCGAGCAAGTGAAGATTCCGAGGTCCGAGTACGGCATGCATTCAATCGACACGCAGGCAGAGATCATCGAATCATCTTTAACAATCACACATGGTGAAGATGAAGATACTAATCGGTTCCATTTTTCCCAGGGTTCAGTTGCGTCTGGCCCCCTTCTGGGGAATTGACCCTTCGTCCCTCCTTGGCGGGGCAAAAATCCCCTTCAAGACCTTCCAGACTGTCGAGCCTCGAGTCTTCAGCGACATCAGCGCGGACGAGCTCGATTTCCCCGAGCCAGCCCCTTGGCGCTTGCGCAGCAAAAGCTGCCGCCGTCGCCACCCATCTCCACAGTGGTGTGTGTTGTGTGGTGAGGCGACCCCAGCGACCTCGGTGGAGGCGGTTCGAAACTCGACGGCGTCCCGAGCGGGCGCCATGATACTTTTCGCCCAACCGAGTCGCGCTGCTACGGGCTGGCTAACTGGCTGCTGCCGCGTTCGTGCTGCACACGACTGTGTGTTGGTTGGTTGTGTGCGCTGACCAGCTGTGCCGCGTACTGTACGATCGTGTTTTTTTTGAAAATTTCTCTTGATTACCGCTTGGAAAGCTGATGGAGAAGCAAGTCGCGTCAGGACGACGGGCTATGTCGGAGTTTCGGCGTCAAGAAGAGGAAGTTATAGGCAGTCTCTGCCGGTAAGTTGTTTGTCTTGCTTGGTGTGTGTGTATCAATGTGCCTCTCGTGAAGTGGAGTCAGCGTGCTTCGTGCCGCCAGCTGATTTTGGTCGAACTCATCAAACATATCGTACTAAATACTTCTGGAACAGTATCTCGGAACTCCTACGATATGTCTCGGTGGGATTTTGAGCGGAATTTGCCTTTTGTTTTGTGAGCTTTCGGAACGATCAGCCGACCGCCCTTGCGGGTTCGCCCAGCTGATCGGCATGTGCTCGAGAAAAATCGTAAAAAACTGAATTTCTGAGCGTCTGTTTCAAGCGAATCTATCGTTGCCGAGTTCCCGCGGCTTCTGGCGGGGATTAACCGCTCGAGGATCCCAGCTCGGGATACATTTCGCGATGACGCCGTTTGGCGCCAACGGTGTTTTCCGCGTCGACGCGTCTCGAAACCTGCGGTTTTCACCTTAGACGCACCCGCAGTGATAATGGAGATCGATTCTCTGCGGCGTGGTTGGGATTACGCGCGAAAAAAAGTCTATTTGAGCGAAATTCTCTGCGCGACCACGTGGTGTCCTGATCAGCTGATGGGAGTCGGCTTTTCGCGTCAGCTTTGCATCGGGTTCGCGTGCTTGACGTTATTATACGTTCATTTTGGATGCCGATCCCCGCCTAGGACCGGGATCGATTTTGCTTTTGAGCTTCGAGTCAATGTGTTCAATCACGGGAAGTAGCGTCGCTGTGAGCGAGGCCTAACGCCTGGCTCGACAGCTGATTGTCGGCCATGTTGGAGTCAGGTGACGGCGAGACGACGAGAGTCTCTGTGCGGCTGCCGCCGCCGCGGCCGCTGCTGCCGCCGCTGGCTGCTGGTGATGCTATTGGCGGTGGCTGCTGCTGGTTTGGAACCAACGCTTTCATAATTTCTGTGTACTGGATGCCGCGAGGCTTCTCGAAAGCGGTCAAAACAGCAGTATTCGCTTCAGTTCTGTGGTCTGTCTGTTCATGGAATGTTGTTTAGAGGATCGTCCGTGATCGACAACGAATACGAGCGATACGAAAGCGCGTGTGTGAATCCGTTCGGGATAGAGCAACCCTGTATAAGCCCCATTGCACAAGAGCGGTGAACGAGGAACACGCTTGTTTACGGCTTGTATTCCTAGCGTCTGATCGGCATGGTGTTGTTCAGTAGACGCGATCCGCGTCGTTCCCAAGAAAATGGGTGAGTAGGAACCCTGAGCGCTTCGACGAGACGGAAATACGAACGAATCGCCACCAAACCAGCGTGAGATTCCATCGAGCGGACGGGCATCGCTGGATTCTCGCTGACCTCTAGTATCTACGATCCGTGGCAGCGGCTGAATCCCGCTTGTTGTGGTGCGCGGTGTCTATCACATGAAGCGAGGCAAAAACAGCTGGCTCAAGCGCTGGATGTTCGCGCCAAATCTGGTGGACATGGTGTCTGTCGGTATTTCCGGCTGATACATAGAAGACCCGACAGGCTGGGCTCTCCGAACAACCGCCGCGGCGGCCGGCCGCTGCCTCGTGTGGCTTATCATCGGCACGTCGAGAGCGGGGATCCGACGCTGCCTCCGTCTAGTTCGTCGTAGCTAGTCTGGCAACGGCTACAGTCGCCAATCATTTTGCCGTCACCGTTCTGAGCGAGGAGTTTCTGTCTGGTGGTCGGGGGCGATGGCCCTGAGGCCTTGAGATGCCCGCCGTAGGCTTTGCTTGCTCGCTGGCTGACTCTCCGGCCGGTTCGCCCGGAGGGTTGCCCATGCGAGCGGCCCGTCGACCGGCTGGCACGCCGGCCGGCCGGCGTTCGGCTCGACGCTCGGCTCATTATGAAGAAAATTTCCTCCCCTAGAAGGTCATCTGTCGAACGTCTATCCGGAGTGAGCGGGCAGAAAAAACATAATGGGACGGACCCTGCGTTGTAGGCAGAAAGCAATCCCCATCGAAAGCTAGCTGTCCACGCTGAAAATTATACGGAAGAACAGAAGTGAAATCGGGGATCGTTGCGGCGGACAGTGCGCGTTTCTCGGAGTTCTGCGGCCGAGGCGGTGGCTTCAGCGGTTGCCGTTGGTGCCGCCGCCTGGTCGCTCGGTTCTGTTGAGCGTTTCCTTCCCGAGCGAGACTACAACTGGCTATGGAGAGGCTACGACGCACTTCTCGACGCCTGTTGGTCAGCCCGTCTGACCGTCTCTTTACCGTCGTCGGATCGCGGACTGAAAAGACGGATTCGATACGATAATCATCGTGCCGGTAATAATGAAAAATTGACGATGCTGATAACGAGGCAGAGATGCGCGATAGCTGAGCACAAAGACTTTCGATTTATCCCTTGTTCCGCGTCCCTCGTGAGCTCGAGAAAATTCAAAGCTTCATTTGATAGTTCAGTCGGTGTTCGTCAGTACATGGCTTTCCGCGGATGCTCTCGCTCCCAGCTGACCGACTGATCGATTGCCCAAGCGGATCCATTTCGTTGCACTAAACTTAGCGCTCGGATTCCGAGAACTCGATGCGCAGAATCCTCGACGGTGAAGCACCACGTGCTTGCTGGGAGTTCTCGTCTTGGCCCGAGAGGACCATGCTAGTCACAACGCCCAGAAGGACGGTTCTTTGGACCGCTCGCTTATACCTATCTCTTTTGTTTCCTCTACGTGATAAGAGGAGAAGAAAAAATGTCGATTCTGCAGATTGAGTCACAACAACAAGCAACTACGCCGTCGACCCAGACCGTTCTCGCCAGAACCACCGTAGCACGCCATTGTGACCTGTCAGCTGATTCGGGATCACCCGATATCGCGGGGCAGTCCGTCAGTTGAACAGCTGGGCAGGATCGACGGCAGGAAACATTGTTGGAACAACGGATGGAAGTCGGAGAGACTCCCGCGGCTTATTCGCGGCCTCGGTTGGCTCTTGCGAGCAGCTGATCGAGTAAGGTCTCCGTCCTTGTTCATTCGATTCAATCGGAGCCAGCTGATTTCAATACTCATAATTCCTGGGATAATTCGTGGGGAAATCCCCGGATCAACTCTCTTCCGTGATCCAAGATCAGTAGGGTCGGCCGATAAGCCTTCCGCATTCCTCCGAGCTTCCGGATTAGGCGTCGATCGAGAAGCTACCGTTCGATGCGGCCTGCTCCCTAGGACGTGGAACGCCGGGGCATCCGCAATGAATCACGCCATTACGCGTACAAGGTCTCGCCGAATACGCGGGAGCGAGATCTGTGCTGAGCGCTCCGCGCGCTTGCAGTAATCGGAGTACCCGATCTGAGGAGATCTATTTCTGCATCGAAACTTTGAATGCTTTCTCAAAGAGACCAACCGAGGATCGAAGGGTCGGAGAGCAGCTGTGCGTCTACTCTTGCATAACAACTGTATTCTTCAAAGTCTTTTTCTACGTTTTCCTCCTTTTCTTTTCGGTAAATGCGCACGGGATGTAAGTTGAGCTAAGACTGGCGACACGGATTGTGAAACTTTGCTCTCAATATTCCAGGCTGGGCAACCGAGGTGCGATTTCGCCCAAAGCTCAAATCGAACAGGAAAAAAGAATTCGACGAGAGATCGCCAATTCTAATGAACGAAGACGGATGCAGAGTATCAATGCTGGTTTCCAGTCATTGCGAGCTCTGCTGCCCCAACGAGATGGCGAGAAGATGAGCAAGGTGAGTTGAGGACTTTTTGGTCAAGCTCTTCATTGACCACTCCTGACAGCCGACAGGTTATACGTAATCGGGATTTCGAGGCCAAGCGGCGTGGATACGAAAATGTCACTCGAACCTTCCAGGCTGCCATCCTCCAGCATACCGCTGAATACATCTATCAGTTAGAGGCTGAGAAAACCCGGCTGTTGTCACAACAATGCACTCTCAAACGCATTCTCCAGCAACACGGTCTAGGGTCCACTTCAGCTAACGACTCCGACAACTCGGACTCCGGTGGTAAAGTTCCTGTCAAACGTAAGAGAACTGTCGAGAGTATCGAAAGCGCTGACGAAGGAATCGGAATGAGTCCGTCCCACTGCGAACGAGAGCTCATCTGCGACCTCAAGTACCAGCTGGATCGCGAGCGAGAAATGCGTCGGGCGGCTGAACGCAGAGCCGAACAGGCAATGAACGAGCGGGACGGTCGTGTGAACCTGGTCATTGAGGAGCATTCCTCGGAAGCCGAAGAATACATTAAGGAGGAGATGGTTGAGGAGTGCACCGAAGAGTTTGTGGTCACAGACGACCTGCCTCAGGATCTCAGCTGCGCCACGGCGACAGGTATCCCACAACAAGAAATCACTGTCATCTCGAAACCATCCGTCGTCGTTCTCCCCGTTCATGGTGTCAACATGGTAGCCGCTCAGCAGCTGACGCCGGCGCCCTCACCTCCGAGGTAGGATGTCGCGACACACAGATCTCACTCGTACGGACCAGAGAGATTTATCGTTTCACGTCAGGCCGCACTTACGCTCGGTATCTTAATCGGTAATATCCGTTTCCAGGTGCCATTCGCCATCGGTGACGAATTCTTCTTCTCTCAACAATCCCGCCGTGACTTCTCGCAAGAACTTGGACACGATCGTCGAGGCCATTCGGCATTTGGAAGGAGATCACATGTTCAACGAGCGAAGGCCCGACGAAAACTGTCGCGCGAATAACTCTCTCAGCGACTCAGGCGTCTCCCGCTCTGAAACCGTAATTGTTCGCTCGTCGATAGTGACTACGCCGAGCTCGAAAGCGACGCAGCCCTCCGCGGCGGCCGACAGACGCTAAGTGTTTAGTTAACGAAGTGTCTGTAGAATGAACCAATTGTACGTGACAGAGAGACAGACGTGCTCGCCGGAAATTCACACAGAGGCTCCATTCATACGACGACGACGACGACAACTACAACAACAAGAACAACTACAACAACATCAAGCACCCACATCGAATGCCTACCAATTCACCAACCACCCACACTTACATCTCGTATATTGAGTGAGCAGATAGCATGTAAAAACTACTTGATTGGCAATCTGCGCGGGCGTCGACCACGAGCATGAGTTGCTTACCACTACGAACAAGCGAACACTCCGAAAAGACTCAGGCCAACATACTGTTACTGTTACACATGGTTCGTCGCTCTTTCATAGAAACACGTAGCTGAATCGAGACCTGAGTTCGGACAGGCTGTAGAAGTTCACGCTTCGGAGGATCTCTCTCGATCGGGGAATTCGGTTTGCAATTCGATTGCGTGGGGTTGGAATTGAGTAAGCGACATCTCCACGTAGTGTCAGTGTACGTCTGTTCTCAGTCTGCCGCGGGTCAGGTTCCTCTTCGAAAGACGCTGATGGTGATGATGAAGATGGATTCGATCATCGTACTTGAGATCAAGATGGAATTGAAGAAGTAGACGCCGATACGCCCGATTGATATGGGCGCGTATTCATATGGGGGCGAGATTGGCTGGCGGATCGGCGCAAAGCTACGGGGAAGTATGGGAAAAAATTGTCTGCTGTTGTCGTCGTTGCCACCATTCTGGTTGATTCGATAAACTCGTATCCGGTGGTGAGAAATACTTATCGGTGGGAGTGGTGATGACGATGATCGATGCAGAGGAACATACATACTAGCCGGTGAAGAACTTCAGAACGAAGCGACAAATCTCCGCTTCTTGGTCATTCATGAATTTGATGATGGTGATTATGATGTTAGAGATTGATTCCTATTATTGCTACACTAGAGTGCTCCGCTAGGATAATGATGATGCGATTGCATAAGCTGGAGAGAAGATTTCTTCTAAGAAGAACTTTCACCGGAAACCGGAAGAGAGATAGAGAGCCAATCGGATTAGTCGTCCCATCCCCTTCGGAGAGCGAGCGGAGGTGCATCGCAAGCAAGTGGGATCGCAACCGCAATTGTTTTCGATTCGATCCTCGAGCTTCTACGGAACGTATTCCCAAGAAAAAAATTCCCCCATTCTCCGGAGAAGCGAAGAAATGAGAACGCCCATCGGATGCCCCAGATCAATTGATATTGACGAAGAGTTGATCTCCCAGTGAGCAATGTCCCGGTCGATAACGGTCACCTGCATCAAGGTGCCGAACTTTGTCAGCGTGGGGCTTGTTCGCGGTTTCTTTAATTCTCTTTGAGTATTTCGAACAAATGAGTGTACAGTCGACCTCCCGGGCGTTTTCATTTCATTTGAGGAGCAGATTGCCACTTCTAGTGAGTTCCTCCGCTAATGTGTGCTCCGCCTGTGGGTCACGCGAACGGTCGGAGCGCGTCGAGTCGCATCGACCGTTCTGGATTCTCATCTCCTCCAGCAGTCTCGCCACCGCAAACAGGTGACAAGCTGAAAATTCGACACTTTTAGCCGAAAGCGATCTGAACTCCCTCTCTATCTCTCTTCGCTCGATTCCTTTTCGGAGTCCCTTTTCTTGATGTCATCTCTTCACACCCGTCGACACGTCCCGGGACGAACACTGCCGCTTGTTGTATTCGCTCCTTGAATCAAATATTCCTCCTGAAACTGTCGGGACGCGCGATGGGTTCGTGGATTGACGATCGCACTCTTGGCGGGTTTTTCGGGCGACGAGTCGATCGTACACCGAATCTGTGGGTTTTTCCGAAACTCTTCCGGATCGGTCGCATACTCGCGCACCCGAAAGTCACATTGTGTGCGTCCTCGAGTGTTTTGCGTACGTTGTTTTCCCTGAATTTCTTTGTCTTGTCTTGGCGACAAGTATTGTAGTAAGACCCTGAGATCCCCCTCATCGGGACTAGGGATAAGCTTCACACGCTCACGTAAATTAGTTGTGAAGATCACACGGGGCCGCTGCTGCAACTGACTCGAAATTCCTCACTGTCTGTCCAAGTATCGGCTGGTTCGGCGTTTGCCTCCCCGAACTTCCGCGGATCAAATCAGTTGCTCCCGAAGGTAAATGAGACCCACTACTAGATGGACTTTGAATACGAACATTGTCCATTTGGTGGCGTCATGATATCTCATGATGCCGTTGATGAGGAAAAGAGTAATAGTGTCCGTAATTTATTGCTTGGGTAAACAAATCTCAAGCGGCGGCTACTGCTCGATGTCGAGATGTACCACGTTTCGTGTTCACCGTTGCTCTCCGTCTTCGCTCGCCTGACGAGCTGTGGTTCTTGTGTCGAGAGACGATTGGAGTCTTGTTGTAAAAGCAGAGCACATCCGTAAGCCACCACGTAGAGGAGAATACAGACCGAACAAGTCGAGCGACCGATGTTCATCGATCGTCTGTCGATAGAATTCTCCGCCCCCCCTCCCTATGTATCACTCATCGGTTAGCTCGGACTTTCATTTTCTACTTCGAAGTCTCATCCATCCTCTGAGAATCCATCAATCAATTTGTCAATGTGTTTTTGGAGAACCGAGGTCTGCTAGCATACATCGTGTTCGTGGTCAATCAGGCGGTTCGAATCGATGTGCGAGAAACGGCAGGACCGATCTCAAAATCAGAGTCCCTGAGGGAGGCGGCACCCCAAGAAGCTGGTTTCAGGAGCTCTCTGCTTGGCATTAACTACCAAAAAAGCGGTTTCGCCTGAATTCTTGAGCCATCGGTCTGCAAACGTTCCTACCGGACTCCGATCGAAGAAGCTTTACGTCAGACTCTCTACAAGATTTTGACATTCGGACCGAGAGACACGACAGCATGAATGGTACGCGAACATATTAGACTCCAGCGGGGGAACGTGTCACAAAATGGGCTCGAGTTGCGGGTGTGGATGGTTCAGCTGAACGTCATTGTTCCCTCAGCCGCGTCTCTCACGATGAGCTCCAAAGTGGAAGCTCATTTAAAGATTCTCGACCAAATTGAAGTTTTCCTAATTCCCCTTGACGAGTTCGACCGTCAGACCAAGAATCTTAGTTCCGGTATTTCCACCCAATTAGGAGCTTGCGACTCTAAGCGCTCAGCGCAATTCATTTGCTTCATAGGGTCGTTGAAGTTCGAAAGTACCAAGTGAGGTTGCTTTCCTCCTTCTCTCGCTCAAATCCATATCCATTCGTCGGAGCTTTCGTTCTTGGGCTTCTCTTTTGTTTGTTGATCCCGGAGCTCTCGTCCCTATGACGAGTTTGTTGACTCAGTCAGACCTTTTCGCATTATTTTGATTCGAGCGAACGAGTTCGAGAAGCAGTCAGACACGGGAACAAAGAGAAAACACTTTAAATATTTCCTAGCAACGGCATTCGGCTGCACGAGGAGCAGCCCGTTCTTTTTTGGTTGGATTGCAGATTCCTCACACAAGAACTCCTCGGAAACCATGGGAGCTATCACTCTCGAGGTCATTATTATAATTATTATATTATCATCGTCCCGGCACCTCTGCACACTTAACCTCTCGACAAAATTACACGATTCTACTCAGAGGCGCAGTTTTGAGACAGGCTGACATTTTATTGCATTTTCTGCCGCTCCGGACAGAGTGGGCTCGGGGTTGTGCATCCGGGGTCCTCTCGTCCTGGACTTATTTCAATATTGGACTCATCCATCGTCAATCGAGTTGATTTGAATCTGTGGGGAACGGCGATCGCTGATCTATCTGAATCTGAGCATGTATCGCGATTCCATTGACTCCAGCTTTCGCGCCCCTTAGCTTACTGTGTTGTCCTTCGATCGATTGATTGATTTATCATTCAATTGACAAACTGGTTGACTGACTGAGTAATTGATTGATTGATTGATTGACTGACTGACGATAGATTGTCCACCAAGTGTTCCTAGCCATGAGGGATCGTAAAAGACAAGGCAGCAAGGAAATGTCGGGAGAAAGCAGCGTATGTATTGTACAAGGCAAATAAGTGAGTTGCGAACATTGTAGTATCGTCATCAAATGAGAAGACGGAGAATGAGGTTTTACCTAATTGTTTGATTGGGAAACACACTCATGTGTCGTTTCGCCCTCATCCGCGTGATCACGCGAACGCGAAGCGTGAGACACACGGCAGAAGTTTGCGAGAGTGAGAAAGAAAGAAAGACCATGTGTAGGGACATGAAGAGAGCGCCATTCATTTTTCCACTCTTCACTCATTCATTCATCAATCATTGTTGTAAAAAAATGAATACGAATCAAATCGAGAAACCAAGAGACAATAAAGTTCATCCGAATCATCTGAGTTTGTTTATGCTCCAAATTCGATTACTCTTTTTCATAGTTTCTCTTTAAGCTGCTTTCGCGGAGTCCACGCGGAGGAACCCGGTCGATGAGGACCAGCGGAGCGCAGTTGAAACCCGCGGTAAAGTGCCAAGAAGTGAATCCCAGAATGTCCTCTCCAGGTCGAGCCGTTGGAGCCACCGACTCCGCCGAGTTCGAGAGAGCACGAGATCCGGCCGGTTCTTCTGTCGGAGCTCTCGTGAGCTGTCTGTGTCCGCAGTCTATCACAGCATCATCCGGATGCGTGTCCGTTTAGAGGATAATACGAGAAAGGAAAAGGCTTGTTTCCATTCTCTTTACAGCGATGTATTACACAATTTATTATACAAAATTCAATCGTCTCCCGACTTCTCCAATATATGATTCACTCGTCATCGTCGTCATCGAGTGTGAAGTCGAAGGTTTTGAAGTCATCCCTGAAGCTCTTCGTCATCTCGGTCTCGTCTGTCTCGGCGACTGTGCAGTGCTTCCAATCGGAGCGCTCGCACATATCGAGGATATCGCTACAACAGACAACTTCTCGGCCGAAATTGATCGGGAAGTCGCCCTTGATCCTCGCGAGCATTTTAGTGTTTCCGAATTCGGCGAAAAAATACGCTTGCCCTTGTGGGACAGCCTGGGAGATGTCGGTATTTCTGGGAATCACCTCCAGCTTGACTCCCACGGAGGCGCCGTAGTCTGCGAACGCGCTCTGCACCTCTTTCTCGGAGATTTTGTTGCTGATTGGAACGACCTGCAGTTGCATGTGCGAGCACTTGTAGTTCCGCTCGAAGTAAACAGCGTACATTTCCTTCGAGGCAAAAAACCGGTTCAAAGCTTCCTTGTACTTCGCCAGCTCGATCCTAGTGTCTAGTTCCAGATCGGACATATTCCTGTGGTGGCCTATGGGCAGGAGTAAACAATGATGGGGAACGATGGCGCCTTTCGCCATTGCGATATAGCACGTATCCCCAACGGAGCAGACCAGGTGTTTCGCGACTTTGGGACTCTGTAAGCAGAACCAGCAATCGTCCTGGGAGATTTGTTGGAGTCTGGGTGCGTTATCTCTCCTTTGTTTCTTCTTCCGAGGCTCATCGTGAGATGTCTTCTGATCGTAGAAGAAACCTTGGAAGGATTTCTCTTCCTCTCGCGGAAGGTCGAAAGCGGGATAAGGGTTCTCGGTAGTGTCGTCCGGTTGTTTGCTCACTTCAGCGATGCTCGCGTAGACCATTGGAGTGATGCTGAACGCGTAAATGTTCTTCTCCTTCGAACCCACGTTCGGAAGTGAAATGAATCTACTAGCCTGTATCGGTTTCTCTGTCAGAATGACGTGATTCCGGAACGGAGCACGCTCGTAGAAAAAGTCCTTCGACGCGGTGAAGTGGTATCTCGGCTTCAGGAAATGCGCTATCTGAGCTATCCCAGAAGTGCCGGCCATCGATCCCGCTTTCTTATTGGTCGCTGCGTATTTCATGATTCCGGCAGGCCAATCAGATGTCAGGAGGATGTCGATGTTTGTATCTGAAGAGACGAGGGGCCTCAGATACTTATGCACATCTTGGAGGCTGTAGGTATGGTCCGAAGACTTGACACTGCCGCAGTCCGTGCCGGAGAAGTACGCCACTCTCAGGCCCCCGGCGAGGGTGATAACACCGCGAATTCCCATGAAGATGACGTTTGGACAAAGTTCCGTGCCATCCTTGGCATTCTCGTAGAACTTTGATAGATTTTCAGATTTCGGTCCTAGAATGTAAGTCGCGATCGGTACCTGCTTCTCACCGGATGCGTAGCTTTCCCAAGCTGATAATGTCTCGGCGAACGGCGAGAAAAACTCGCCCACTACGAACAGACTGTCAAACTGTTGCCCCTTGCTGAGAATGCTTCGAATTCTCTTGTAGAGCTGATCGAACTTTCCATTCACATCACCGCACACCAATATTCTCGAAGTTTTACTCATTCTGGCATATGAGACACGGGATCGGGCGATGGGAGCAGAGACTCCGAACTGTGAATCCGAACTCTCAGGAGAACAAGGAACAACAATTTATGGAGGATTTCTTCGTCCGGTATATCCTACCACGGCAGAGGTCGGCAGACTATCAAGTCGTCAGAGAAGGCTTGAGTCCCCTCGAGGACAAAGGCTGGGGCTTCTGAGGTGGCGTCTGCAATTATTGGATACTGTGAACGATGTCCGTAAGTCTCTTGGTCACGAATGTTTCTGGTCTACGATTGCTCCGCTTATATGCGAAGTTGAAAGCCACTCTGACAGTGAACTCTCCCCTTGAAAAGCTCTCTCCGTGTCTGAGTGCCGACTGAGCACCCGGCGCGGATTCCAAAGAAGTAATTAAGAGTGGCTCTCACCTCGCGGCTGAAACTTCTCTCCGGTAATCGCGCGAGATGCCTGGGTTCTGACTCACCGAGTGTGATTCCGGAATTCGACGATCGGCTCGAAAAACACTCGGATCCAGCAGAATCAGGAATGTATGGATGGGACTTCGTTGCCGAAAGCGCTTGATCTGTGACCGCGTTTGGGGATGCCGGGCGGGCCGCCGCGGCGGGCGAAATGATACATCTGGAAGGCAGCGCGAGAGGCGAGGTAGATTCCCGCGGGTGGGTTGTTTCAGCGAATGCGGGATAAGATGCTCAACCTGAGCGCGCTGCCCTGACTCCACGTCGACTGCCGGTTCTCTGAGGAGAATTTGAAGAGTTTCTGAAGACTTTTGCGATCACGGACAGTCGCGCCTTATCATTAGGGGGGGGATAGGACGAGAAAGGAAAAGGCTTGTTTGCATTCTCTATACATCGATGTATTACACAATTTATTATACAATTCGAGCGTCACCCGACTTCTCCAATATACGATTCACTCGTTGTCGTCGTCATCGAGGGTGAAGTCGAAGCTCTTGAAGTCATCCCTGAAGCTTCTCGTCATCTCGGTCTCCTCTCTCTCGGAGACAGTGCAGTGCTTCCAGTCCGAGCGCTCGCACATATCAAGGATATCGCTGCAACAGACAACTTCTCGGCCGAAATTGATCGGGAAGTCGCCCTTGATCCTCGCGAGCATTTTAGTGTTTCCGAATTCGGCGAAAAAATACGCTTGCCCTTGTGGGACAGCCTGGGAGATGTCGGTATTTCTGGGAATCACCTCCAGCTTGACTCCCACGGAGGCGCCGTAGTCTGCGAACGCGCTCTGCACCTCTTTCTCGGAGATTTTGGTGCTGATTGGAACGACCTGCAGTTGCATGTGCGAGCACTTGTAGTTCCGCTCGAAGTAAACAGCGTACATTTCCTTCGAGGCAAATAACCGGTTCAAGGCCTCCTTGTACTTCGCCAGCTCGATCCTAGTGTCTAGTTCGAGATCGGACATATTCCTGTGGTGGCCGATGGGCAGGAGTAAACAGTGATGGGGAACGATGGCACCTTTCGCCATCGCGATATAGCACGTATCCCCTACGGAGCAGACCAGGTGTTTCGCGACTTTGGGACTCTGTAAGCAGAACCAGCAATCGTCCTGGGAGATTTGTTGGAGTCTGGGTGCGTTATCTCTCCTTTGTTTCTTCTTCCGAGGCTCATCGTGAGATGTCTTCTGATCGTAGAAGAAACCTTGGAAGGATTTCTCTTCCTCTCGCGGAAGGTCGAAAGCGGGATAAGGGTTCTCGGTAGTGTCATCCGGTTGTTTGCTCACTTCAGCGATGCTCGCGTAGACCATCGGAATGATGCTGAACGCGTAGATGTTCTTCTCCTTCGAACCCACGTTCGAAAGTGAAATGAATCTACTAGCCTGTATCGGTTTCTCTGTCAGAATGACGTGATTCCGGAACGGAGCGCGCTCGTAGAAAAAGTCCTTCGACGCGGTGAAGTGGTATCTCGGCTTCAGGAAATACGCTATCTGAGCTATCCCAGAACTGCCGGCCATCGATGACGCTTTCTTATTGATCGCTGCGTATTTCATAATTCCGGCAGGCCAATCAGATGTCAGGAGGATGTCGATGTTGGTCTCTGAAGAGACGAGGGGCCTCAGATACTTGTGCACATCTTGGAGGCTGTAGGTATGGTTCGATGACTTGACACTGCCGCAGTCCGTGCCGGAGAAGTACGCCACCCTCAGGCCCCCAGCGAGGGTGATAACACCGCGGGTTCCCATGAAGATGATGTTGGGACAAAGTTCCGTGCCATCCTTGGCATTCTCGAAGAATTTCGATAGATTTTCAGATTTCGGTCCTAGAATGTAAGTCGCGATCGGTACTTGTTTTTCACCCGATGCGTAGCTCTCCCAAGCTGATAATGTCCCGGCGAACGGCGAGAAGAACTCGCCCACCACGAACAGACTGTCAAACTGTTGCCCCTTGCTGAGAATGCTCCGAATTCTCTTGTACAGCTGATCGAATTTCCCATTCACATCACCGCACACCAATATTCTCAAAGTTTTACTCATTCTGGCACATAAGACACGGGATCGGGCGATGGGAGGGGAGACGGGGCTGTGAATCCGAACTCTCAGGAGAACAAGAAACAACAACTTATGGAGGATTTCTTCGACCGGTGTATCCTATATGCCCCTCTACACAGAGAAGACACCCCATTCCGAAATCGTTTTCTCTAGGAACGCGCCCTTTCCGATGAGAGGCTCCGCCGCCAAAACAAGCGGCCTCGTGATTCGTTCGGATCTGCAGTTTCGCTGCTACCTGGGGCTGAGGGATACTTCTGAAGTAATCACAGGATCCTTCGTCCTGCTGATCGACCCGGGTTGTCGAAAGATGATGAGGTCGTCGATGGGCGTCCAATAGCTCAATCCCACCAAAATACTTCAGCGGCCCAGGAGCCGCCAACCGTTGTTTACAAATCGGAGGCGCTGAGTTCATGAGATCCTGTGGCGAACGAACATATGATCAGCCGCAGACACCGGCATCCTCGGACAAGTGGGGACATATCGTGATTTTCCCGGATCGATTTTGTGAATGCGTCGTATACTTCATACTCTACTTCCAGTCGCCTTCCTCGTTCTCATACTATAAAGTCGACGTCGACATGCTTCCTGTGGCTTCTCCTGTGAATCAGGCAGCTGCGGGAAGCCGGATAACTTTCACTGAGTCTTGGCAAGACGGGGACCAAGATGCAAATTCTGCTCTCACAGAGCTTGACAAAGGTGAACTTTCTCGACTTGGCAGAACTCCTAAATTTTCAAGATCTGTCATCACGATAGGTTGGACCGGATTTTGTGAGAGAGAGGCTTGAAAGAGGCGTTCTATCTCCAGGACTTCGCTCCGGACGACAGGGCGAACAATGTGAAACGATCGTTCGATTTCCCCGTTTGTTCGAGAAATACCCATTTCCGATACTGATCAATTCGGCATGTCTCAAACTCGCCGAAGTGTTCCGTGTTGGGTAAGTCGAAAGCCGCCCGGGAGTGCGGTGATGGTCGGGATGGCCCACGAATGACATGATTAGAGCCCACGAGAGCGTGTGCCGAGACAGATCTCGGGTCTCCGAACTCATCTGTGCGAGACATATCCCTTGCAGGAACAATTTCTTGCGCCTCCTGGTTCTCCGGGTTATGCAGGAGAGCGAGAAGCATCTGGACAAAATACTCTCCGTAGACGAATTCGTCCGTCGGATTTTCACCGTTATGTATTCGAACGACCCGGTCGCTCGCGCTCTGACGCTGAGAACGCTTGGCAGCATTTCCTGCGTCGTCAAAAATCGGACCAACGTGCATCACTCCATCAGGCAATTATTCTTCTTTCACCGATTTGCATCGGGCAACGCTGTGCCAGAGATTCTGATCGGAGTCCTGAGCGAATCTTTCAGCGGTGATCTTCTGCTGTTCCAGATCGAGCCTCGACTCAAACGACACAGTGGAACTCGAAGCGGCAATTTACGCATGCTCTCGACTTTCGGCAGTCAGTCCCGCGTTCGCGGCGTCCATCTGCCCGATCGTTGCTCAGATGATGAACAACCTTTCGACACCAGTTGATATAAAATTGAAATTATTCTCGGTCTTTTCCAATATGACCCATGATGCCCAGACAGCCTATCAGGTGAGTTGTGAAATTCTCGAGAAGCCCGGGCGGAATCTTCGCGGATGGAACGTGGAAATTAGCCAGCGTCGAGAAGTCACCAAAAATGTCTACTTCAAGGTTCGAGAGCTATGCTTGTCGCTTTTACCGACGCACCCTGCTCAGGATTTCGTGGTGGAAATCTTGGACGTTCTCACGAAACTGACGTCGACATCAGTGACACATCTGACCTCACAAATCATCATTCTTCTCGAACACTTGGAGACGGACCCGAGAGCCAGCGTCAGGAATCAGGCGTTGAGTGACCTGCGGTTCCTCGCGGAGGGGGAGAAATGGGCTCACCTATGGACTCGCGAGCACTTGGAACGCTTGGTCAGTTCCGATATCCATTCTATGTATTATCGTGGCTCGAGGAGACTGGTCTGATAATTCCTCCTCCACGAAAGCAGAGGCCAAAAGAATTTCATTCGTTTCTGTGCTTGACGCCGGATCACTGCCATTACAGGTGAATTACGCTTCAAAAAGCCACTACATGAGGCTGAAGTGTCAGGCCATACGAGTTCTAGTTCTGCTTTCGAAGTCATTGGCTGTTCACCAGATGGATCTGACTGCGACCTCACCGGTTCTCGAGCTCTGTGAGAAGAACATATACCACGAAGACGTGCGGCTAGCTGCCGTGTCCACCGAGCTGATGACACAATTAGCGGTTCATGTTTGTCGAGGTGTGTGACTCTCTCGATTAGCTTGAGTGTAGACGCACGATCTAATAGAATCTTCAGCAAGGGCGCGGATGAGCATAATTTCGCTTTTCAGAGAAAATCGCCAACATTGACGTCATGCGCAATACGTGTGCCGGGATTGAAAACCTCCTGTTCCTAGTCTCTTCTTCTGGACCGAAGGAAGCTCTGAGTCTCGCGCTCCGATGCGTGCTCGACCTCTGCAGGGTCGACGCGGCTCTATGCTCTCACTTCGTCGACGTTCTGGCCCTCTTCCTTCCGAACAAAGCGATCTGTCTGACGCTCTGTGCGATAGGAGCCGAACGGAGGGTGCTCGGCCATCTGGAACCTAAAATACGAGAGCACCTCCCGAAACAGCCGCTCATCTTGTGGACCCTTCTACTGCAAGCCAGTCTCGAAAACAGCAGCGCCCAATTGGAGTTCCCCTTGAGCAGTTTGTCGACGGAGCTCAGTGACTGGGACCGTTACAGACTCGCAAGACAAGCTGCTCATTACGGACAGCATAGAGCCGTGCGTCTTCTGGTGGAAAACTTGGAGAACAGCGTCAGCTCCGAGCACCTCTATTTCTGGCTGATCGCTCTGAAGAATCTCGCCCTCGGGGAGGAGACCCGGCAGACGTGGTATTTCGCGAAAGCGGTGTCTTCTCTGAAAGGTTCGCCTCTAGTCTCTAGGAATCAGATCCACTCCATTCTTACTGACCGCCCCACCTCGATAATCGGGGTGGGACTCATAATCATCAGTATCAGACAGTCTGACATATTCCGCATGCGAGTCAGACAATCTCTCCCTCGATCGGTATCGCGATGGGGTTCTCAAAGCGGGACCGTTCGCATTCCAGCGGCTACAACGCCCATGCACAGTCTGCACTTCCAAGCGGAGTACGTTCGACTCCGAATGCAACTGATCTCACTCGACCAGCAGCTGCTCCACTCGAGTAGCTGTCTGCGGACCTGTCCGCCCCCGGCGATCGCTGCCTCTTTGGCCACAGCCAGTCGGGACGAGAATATGAAATGCGGGAGGTTAGCTCATGGCCAACATCCGATCATCAATCCTGGAATGCTCATCGATTCACGAGTAGACGTAGTGTCTGAGTCTGCTGTCTTTTCGCTACAGGGTTGTGACGCAACTTCGAAAGAGCGCTCGAGATTGGCGGACCTTATCAGAGCAGTACGGAGCCCTATACGAGAGCAGTTTCGACGCCGACACTCCGAGCTTGCAGCACGTACGCGTCCTGCAGCAAAAATGCCAAATAATTGCCCAAGCTGTAGAGAAGGTCTCCCAATTCAATCAAGGCATCGGGTAAGAGAGCTAAGGAGTGAACTGGAGCAAGAGCAAAATCGTTCATTCATGATAGAGGTTTTCCTCGGGAGATCTGGATTCGCTCTCGAAAGCTTCTTTCCCTATCATTTTTTTTCATCAATTTCTAAACAGGTTCATGTGAGTGTTTACTCGAGACTGCGAAAACGTTGCTCCTCGAAGCGAGCGGTCGAACGCTTGAATTTATCGAGGTTTCACCTCGAACGCGATCCGCTAACATCTAAGCTTCTCCTTTCAGGGCACAAACCACCATGGTCGAACCGTGGTCAGACTTGAGCCCGAGCTCCAGTACATTCCGTGACTACGAAGCCGCGCAGAAAGCGCTCTCGCTCTATCAGTCGCTTGGTGATGCGGATGGTCTGACGACTTCGAAGGTCTCGACCCTTGTGGAGATATCGCAACTCCTCGTCGGGGTACCTCTCCACGTACCGCGCTCATTCTTCCAGAGACTTCAAACTACTAACCTCCAACTCGCAATCGGTCCACAACAAACGAATCCTAACGAACCAGTGAGAATCAACCGAACATCACTCGTCTTTGGGTCTTAGCGGCCGCACATAGCCGTCGTAGCCGTGGATAGAATATCTGAATCCATTGACGCTCCTGATCCTCATATTTTCTCCCATCAGGTGTTCATTGCGGGACATCAGCTCTCCCTCAAGGTCGAAGGAGTCGTGCAACAAAGCGCTCGAGTACATCGTCGAGTTCGAAGCGTAAAACTCAAGATATCCGCCAACGATCCGCCCTCATTGAGTCTAGAGGAAGTTGTCGAGCCCAAAAACGACTACTTCTCGGCCGAGTTCCTCGTCTCGCTCCCCACTGCAGGTACGTTGCTGTGAATCGCCAGCTCGCGGGATTCTGCTAAAAGTTCAGCGTTCCGCACCTTGCCCGAGGGCATCGAGCATTTTAATCAATGCTGGAATTATTGTTCGCAGGGGTTTACTGTATCATAATCGACACGGCGGTCCTGGATGAAGCTCGAGACGTCTGGACGACGGGACCTAAGGAGGTGTTCATGGTGAAGACTCATGAGGATTCCACGTATAAACGACTTTATTTACAAAGAGTCTGAGAAATCACCCGGAGAACTTGTTCATTGTCTCTAAACGAACCCGGGCGTACCTCATGGAGAAGGACTCTGTTCCGGCAATAAATACAAACGAGGTCCAATGGGACACTACGAGCTCGTCGACGTCAAACGATCGGTCCTCACTAAAGTACCGTCGTGCATCTCACACTCGATTTTTTCGTTGGATTCTAACACCAGTTGGAACTTATTTTCTAAGTGTTTCCGTATTCGGATGCTCTCTACTGGAACTTTGGGACAATGGAGAAAGTTGTGGGGAGTTTTCTGCTCACTGTAGAGGTTCTGAATTGTCACCATCGAAGTGAATCCGTACTCGAGCCTCAATGCCTCCAGATCTGACCATAACGAGTCGTAAAAAGCTTTCCATCCCGATCTTGCGTAACGGTCGTGCCAGAAAAAACTCGTCAGACTGTCGACGACGACCAGTCCCACATCGGAAGTTCTGACCAACTCCCGCAGTTTGAAACTGAGGAACGATTGGAGCTCGGTAGACGTGCCGCACTTTTGCACGATCATATTTCGGCAGGCGGATTTAAAGTGCGTTGATGGCAAGTTCCGCGATCTGAAATTCACGCTTCGACATTACATCCCTGGCTATGCGAATCGATGCGCGATAGCGCATCATCTCGCTGTCGAAACTCACTTGCAAACATCTTTTATCCGATCGAGAAGTCCCAGAACGTTGAAGCGGTAGTCACTGTCGACGTATACGACATCACGCCCCCGCATCAGGACGGAAATGCATGAATCCTGAGCGAGTAAACTTTTGCCGGAATTAGGCTCTCCGTGAATCGCGTACGCTTTCCGGTGGAGGTCCAGAAGATTGGGGAACGGAACGCTCTGACATGGAAGGCGGATCAAATAATGCTCCTCGAGAAGCGCACATGTCTTTACTGGACTCGGATTCCGAACTGACACAGGTACTAACCGTGGATTTTCTTTGCGAAAGTGCAATGAGGATTTTCCGGCCGAGGATGATGTCTTTCGAATTATCTTGCTTGTTTTCTGTAAGTTATTTAGATTCCTCATTTGCGGGAGCATAATCCCCGAATGAGCATTCGAGACGTTTAGAATCAGTGAAGCTCTCATCTTCGGAACGGTATGGGACAGAACAGCTAGCAACGCATAGCTTACGCTCCCCCTCCATATTAGCTGAGCATCCGCGGTTCCTGTCCGATTCAAAAGACCGCCCCCGGGCCTGCTTTCAGCACAACAATCAGGAATTCAATCGTTCACTTCGAACCTGGAAAATGAGATGGTGAATGATCGCTGGGGCGATTCTGGGATGACGGTAGCACCCCGCCGGAGCTTATATGAGGAAATATTCGAGGTTCGTCCGTGACCCGCGGTCGTAGGGAACCCGGTTTCGACCGATCCGCGTCGGTCTCAGGTGTCCAATGGATATGGATCAGCGAATCTCCGGCTCCCAGAGACTCGTCAGGCCGGCCGATCGCAATCCGATGAATCCGCTTTTGATTAATTATTATTGATTCCGCACGACATGCTCCGATTGAATTAATCATGAATCATATATCCGAAGCCTTTGCTTTATTTTTCTTGAAAGTCATCAACGCCATACCCGAGAAGTTCTAATTGTACGAAACGGAGCTCATTTTTCGCATGTTCACGAGGGAATCCGTCAGAGACTGATACTTTTCCAGGACATCATCCAAGTCAGGGTTCAGTACGAGAGCTTTCTTGTATATCTCGTGCTTCTTGATCCGGCGATCCAATTCCCTCGCCAAAGCTGTTTTCTCGCTCTCCAGTTTTTCTCGTATGCTTTCGAGAGCTTCGTCGTATCGGTAGTCGCGGAACAGATCCAGGATGGACTTCGCGATGCTCCCGAATTTCTTCTCGTACACGGCCGCGGTAACCGCAGTGTAATCCACCTGAGCTTGTTCCAGTTTGAAACGCAGCGACCACTGTTCGTGGCGGAGTGTTCTGTTTAGCAGTTCTTTGCTAGCCTGGATGTGAGCATTCAGCGTTTGTCGGCGCTGGACGAGTTCTTTCATTTGTTTCCGGAGCCTCGAGTAGGCTTCTATGACGTCGTTCTCCGTGCAGACCTCGAGTCTGCCTAGAGGAGCGGATTCCTTGGAGAGAATTGCGTTCAGTTCCGGTACAATACGTTCAGTGTAGAATTCACTATCGAATGGTGTGAAGCCCTGTAGGGGCGGCTTGATGGAGAACAGTCGAAGGATGACAGATGCTTTGAAGTTGCAGAACTTCTCCTTTTCTCCATCACCGATTTCAGTTTCGAGTTTGAGAATAGCTTGAACGAGCATTCTCCGCAACAGTTGTGCTCGGGCAACTCGCAAGCCATCTTGGAAGCTCACCTGAAGACAAACATATGCAGTCCCGGTTACGCTTCCCGCGGGAATGTCACTCAGAAGAATCTCCCTGATCTCTCTCTAGCATTCTTCCTCCCACTCCCCATTCAACGGTGCTTCAAGCCGCCTGTCGTGTAATCTATGGGCCATTCGATTCGATTGCACGAGAATAAAACAGATATAGATGTCTTCGGCGCGACCATATGATTGCGCAGAGAGGATTCACCAAACAGTCAGATATCACCCACCTCGTCATTCATTCTGTTGCATCGAAACGTTCCGTCGCGGAATATCCCCGTGAGCCTGGATATCAGTCGAAAACCGGGAGAATTGTATGTTCGCTGACAAATAGCAAAATCAAGTCAGAGCATCGCCGCTCGTTTGTTGTTATTTTCTCCAGCGCGCGCGCTTCGGGCGGTAGTGGCGCCACCTCTGTCGCAGGGAAGCAGTCACGAATCGCTGCTGTTGGGACAGAGCCGCATAATGCGTGAGCCGAAGTAAATCACTTCATAGGGTCAAGCGGGCCGGGAACCAGTCGTTTTCGCAAGATTGTTTGCATGATGAAGGGCAATGATGTCCGATAAATGTCACAGTTCGAGACTCTAGATGCCTTTTGGACCGAGCCCGGTCTCACTCAAGCCCATCGATGGAACGGTAGAAAGCGTTGAATGTACTAGACCCCATCCAGGAAACCGGGCCACTTAAATTAGCGGGACTTCCATCGCAGGATCTACTGTCGACGATGACTCCGAGCCAGAGGGTTAAGCTCACACAGGGGGGAGCTCAAAACTCACGGTTACGGTCCGCGCACTCCGGCGAAAGAAGAACGGAGTAGCGCATCCTCAGCGCGCTGAACTCTCCCATCTTGATTGCGGTTCGTTTGACGCAGCTCTCCCCATGCGTCTCATTGGAGGAAGACGCGAAATGGAGCAGAGACTTCTTCACTCATGAGTTCATGAGGCTGACGACGGTCTGTTCCAAGGATCACGTAGTTCCCAAGAAAATCTGCCGTCTGCTGGGGCTATCCGCTGTCGGAGCAGAGTACCAGTTCCGTAGCAGAGATCATTCTCTTTGAGAAGAGCAATCGATAGCCTGAAAACTCGAGCGGTCGTCCTGAATCGAGACCTGAAGGATCTTCGTTCAGTTCCTCATGATCGATGACCCCGCCGGGGATATCTCCAGCTCGAACGGAGGACAACTTCGATTGAGTCCGGTGGAGCCGCGCTGTAGGGGATCGAGCACTTATCATCAGCTGGCTGAGATAAGTCGTTTCGTATCATTGGGCAAAGCTTCCCCTTATGGAGCACAGCTTCCGGAAGGACTTGGAATGACTGGAGAGAAGGATAAAAGGATTGAAATGATGACTCACCTAGCCCACCCCCCTTTTCATTGCGAGAGTGGAGAAAATTCGACACGCCGACGTGGTCGATATCGCTCTCTCGTTGCAGGGTGACCCTCACTCGAAACTTGCTCAATCTTGTAATCAGACTGTCGTAAGTTTAAGCATCGTGTGGATGGTAGGAAAGGTGTACATCATCACCGGAGCATCGAGAGCTTCGAAATTTATGCAAGCCTCGAATCGCCTCTTGCTAGAACGGTTCTCGAGACTTCTGCTCATTATGGAGAGTTCCGTCTTGAAACATACCAAGGACACTGTCTCTTATCCCTCCGACAGGATACAGTGGCATCCAGAGGTAAATCAGTGGCATTGCTGCTAGCGGAGCAGAAGGCCAGACTAACCATTCATGGTCGACGTGCTGAAAAACTCGAGGAAGTCGCTTGTGAGGTCGAGAGAATATCGGGTCTCAAACAGGCCGCTGTACTCGGGGACATCACAGATCAGAGCGTGAGGACCGAGATGATCGAAGCAACCCTCAAAAGATACGGAACAATCGATGGATTGGTGAGCAACACAGGCTACGTCGGTGGTGGAGGGTGGGACGATGAAGATCAAAGAGCCATCAAGCACATGCTGGATGTTCATGTCTTAGGACCTTATGATCTCTGCTGTAAAGCGCTCCCGCACATCATAAAGGAATAGGACACCATTGTCGTGGTTTCATCGATTGCATCCATCCGACCGGTGAGTCGGTCTCCAATTGAATTTCAAATTTCCCTTTCCAAGAAGTAGACTTCAGATTGAGGAAAGCGACTTCAACGAAGACGTCTCGAACAGGTTCCCGGGCTGATCGCATATGTGACGGCAAAGAGCGCCTTGGACGGCTTGCCGCGCGCCTCAGCCGTAGATCTGGCGAAGAGTGACGCGCGAGTCAACTCAGAGAAGTACATACCATATTGCAAGATGGAGTCGAGAAATTCAGAAGCGGAAATACTTGAAAATAGAAATCCTTGAGGACAGTCTCCTAAGGATTAGCTCCTTCTCAGCCCTGGCGGAACAGTGACTGAAATCAGCCGATTCAATCAGGAGAACCCGAACTTGGATCATCGCGTGCGCCGCTCTCGATTCTCACCGACGATAGAGGATTGACCATCGATTCGGAACCTGTGCGCCGGCGATCTCTGTCGGGTTAAACCCTTCCCTCGAGCTCAAAACAATTATTATTCTCGACCTCAGAAGTTCCAACCAAGCCGAGTGCACTCGAACGGCCGCTTGGCCAATCCAGAGGATATAGCTGAGTGCATATTATTCCTGCTCTCACCGAAATTTCAAATCCTGACCGGAGTCTCAATCCCTGTGGACGGTGGGCTGTGTGCTTCTGCTCTAAACGATTGATCGAATAAATTGTAGCCTGTTCAACTGGGGAAGTCTTCTCCAAACGCTCGTTCGGCACTCCATGAGCTTCCTATTTCCAGATTCTCATCAATTTGTCGCTAATGGAGCCGGCAGCTCGAAGTGAGAGATATGCCTGAACACGGGCTCGGATCGAGACATCGTTGTTGCTTCACAGAACTTTTCGAGCTCTGCTCCCCCTGAAGGCCTCCTCTCAGTCATCCAGCCTCCGAGCTTATCTTCTGGAAGTATGAAGAGCCCATTGAGGACTCGATACGAAGAGGAGGTGCCATTTCCAAGCAGTTGAGATAACCGCGTAGAGAATTCGACCGTCGAGCCGAGAATTCAATTATGATAATTTGCTTGACACGCCGTCTTGCGTGCTCTGTCCTGACGATTGCTCCGCGTCTCCATCCCCTCTAGGCTCCGGGTAGTTCTCGCGCAGCTCATCGACCGTCCCCCCTAGCCGACTCGCTGGCTACTGTATTCGATCGGTCCGAGGGGACCAAGCTCCCTCCAGATTGCGCGCCCGAAGACGAAATCCCATCCTGAAGAGCCGTTCTTTAATCTCCATACAGCAAACAGTGAACTGCCGGTGACCTCAAACTTCTCTAAAAGTTGAGACCTCCTCTGCCTCTGTAGACGGGAGCATGCATGAAATGTTCATTGTGTCGTTCAGCTCATGAGAGCTCCTCTGACTCGTGAGCAATGATGTTCATGCAGGAACGGACCACAAGGGCGCTCCTGCAGCCTCTCTCCTTTCGGGAGATCCGCCGAGGACATCGACTTCTCGCAGAAATCCATTCCGATCCTGAATGAGTCCCTTTTTTATCTCGAAATACCATCGATCAATCCTTCCGTCTGCTCTCGGTAGATCCGTCAAAGAATGTTGATTGTACGCATATATCTACGCAATTCGTCCCCCCGCGTTCCTCGGTGTTCTCGGGAACGCAAGCTCTATCTATAACCTTTTCGCACTGGGGTTGGCCACCAGGTAGGTTTCAAGATGGCGGATCACCACTTTTCTCTCCGCTGCTTTAGCGCAGCCGTGTCATTTCTGATGGACAGAGGCACCAGATGGGCCCCTTCCGCGTAGCCCCGACACATTGGATTCCCTGTCAGTATTTATAGATTTCCCCAAATCCGATTCTCTCGACATACTGATGATTCGCTCAGAGCTCGAGCTCAGAACCGGGAGGACGATTTTTGTGTGGTTTGCCGAGGTCCTGTGCGAATTCACCGTAACACCGCGCGATCACGCCGAGATCGCCGGACCCGACGTGTTGTAGGTGTAATCCTCCGTAATCCGTTGTGATCCACGAATGATCGCGTACGATGCAACGTGATTCTGGTGTGATATATGAGTAAAGGTCCCGCGTAATCCAGACTGATCCGATGCGGCTGAAGATGAGAGTTGACAAATGATGAGAGAAAGCGCCCGCCGTCAGTCAAATTTTCGGCAAAGATCACCAGCATCATTGTCTACACTCTCCCATCGACAGATTCCATTTCTGTGCAATTTTACCCCGCGTTCCTCTCGTACGCAAGTCTCCTATACGTAACATACGTACAGTTGTACGCTATCTTGAGCAGTCGTGGGAGCGTGCAGAAGACCGCCGTACAAAGCCGAAAAGCGTATCAGCGTACAAGCCGCATTTCATGTCTAGTTATGAAGAAGAGATGCAGCAGCGCCGCGGCTCAACTGTTGTTGTCGTCGGAGCTTCTTTCTTGTTGTTTTTAGAACTACGCGAATTTGAACTGTGCGGCGTCTACGTCAGAAATTAGCTTCAGCTATATTTACGCTTGCTGATTGCTCGTTCCTGGTGCGTTCTTGAGGATATGCGATGAAGCTTGACAGTGCCGAGTTCTGAGAGCTGTGGTAAGTACGCTCTTCGGGTTTCATTGCCGACATTTCACTAGCCGCATCTCGGTGTTCATCTGGTTGGTCAGAGGAGGAGAACTCGATCCCTCACGGTTTGGGTCCGAGCTTCGCCGCGTATGCGGTGCTCACCGTCGAGTGTGAAACTTACGGGCTCCTCCACTCCAGGAAGAGACAGAATTCGGTCGATCTTGGTGAAGAACCTTAAGCTGTCACGAGAGTCTCATGTGTATGTACGCTGACTCTTCCCCGACTTGGAGATTGAGCCGGTTTGGGGAGCGTTTCAGCGATTCTCCTAAGCTCCATTCGGGGCTCCCTGAAGTATGAGTTCGTGTGACGATTAGTAATTGCTAGCCAGGACCCCCTTTGATAACGACGGAAGTACGGGGCGATTCTGACCGTCTCTTCCCCGGCCGCAAACAAAAGAGTCCTCGGCGGCGCCGAGCGCGTGGGCAGATGGCGTGAGAAAATGGAAAACTTCCACACCGACAATTAGGTCTCGCTCATTTATATTTATCCAGGAGTTCCGTTCCTGAAACAGAACATTAGTTGACCAAGCCGCCCGCTCGGAAGCATCCGTTTCATAGAGTTCCATGCATTCCTTTCGGGTGAGACTGATAGAACCATGGTAGTATGGATTGGGCGTGCACGAGACATTGATGCAAATTGTATCGCCCCGATTTCCACAGAGTCCGATCTCGACACTCTTGACTTCATTTTACGGATGAGCTCTGGTAGATCCGGCAACTTCTCATGGCTCGATCCATTTGAGAGGCGGCGATGACACTGGGCGGAATGCTTGAAGTCGAGCGTCGTCCTCCGAGAAATTAATGAATGAATTCGATATCCGCTCGGCAGCTACTCGATCGTTAGGAATGTCCCTTAAATTATCGTGAACTGGGCTCACCACTGGAGGAAAGTCCGCATTCCAGGATACATTCTTGAGCCGCGATCTCAAAATCCTCAAGTGATCCTCGTTCCGGAGGTGGACAGGAGCTCACCGGCGAGACAATCAACTTGGGGATCCGATTCACACTCGTCACATGATAATTTGGTAGTTCGCGGGATCGACTAGTTCGAAACCCGTCGGGAATGATCGTTTGTTCGGAAGAAACTAATCCTCATCTGGGTAGGCTTCTCAGCAGAGGTGAAAGAGGGAGAATAGAATGGAATTCCCTCCCAAGAATGTGTGTCGAGGCACCGTTCCCTGAACTATTTTCTTGCCGTCGTGCTTTCAGCCTCTGTCGTCGATAGACTTCTCCCAGAGCCTCCGCTCTTTGACACCGACATTGAGATCGAGCGAAAATAATCTGGAAGTTCTGCTCTACGTGTGCTCAGGACGCGTGAGTCAGCAGATGCCGTGTTCAGCCGTCTGGACGTGGAACTCAGTGCTCGGGCCTCGTATCAAACAGCGTCTATCCGGTGCCTCAAGCAGTGAGCATTCTATTCTGGCCCAGAGTGACTTGAATTGGGAGACACTCTGAATTCGAGAGGAATTCCCTTGATCCTCGCCCGGTCGAACAGGATTCGTGCTCCTCGAGAGGGATCAATATCGAGCCATGCTTCATTATTTGTCGGATTCTGGGTAGGTAACGAGCAGTGAGAACGGGAGAAACTGAGCGATTAGACCTTGGAACGTTCCTCGCCGATAGATCTCTAATGAGGGGAACGAATCAGTGACATCGGTGCGCCGTCGCGTCGTCCGGCCCGCACAACGAAGCTGATACGACAGTCCTACCGACTCTCTGCAACGCAATCTGCTCCTCGATAGTGCCGCACAGGGATGCGTGGGAGTCGCCGGGAGAGGTAGATTGGCCGAGAGAGGGAGAAAACTCGGTTCAGAGCTCCCAGCTCGTCCTCCGTGCTGATAACGAGCCTGACCCGGCCGGTCGCTGTGATTCTGCGGGGCGCCGAGCTCACACCGAGGAACTCGCATCTCACACCCGGTCGAGCGAGCTCGGCTATCAGTCACCTGGCTTAAGAACCGCCTTCTTCCCATCCGATTGACATTATGTACTCGCGATGATGAACCGAACATATGGAAAAACAAGCATCCATCGTAAAGCGTTCCCCATGTTCCGAGGAGCTCGTGTGCTCTGTCGGGCACTGCTTCCTGTCCGAGTTGGGGACGTGAATCGGTGTCCAGGCTGACCGATTTCCGATGATTGACACTGCTTTCGATCGCTCACTCCTCAGTTTGTATATCCCACGCGGTGAGACAAACTAGTCCGCAGACAAAACTGTCTGCGAGCAAATCTGCAGACGAGGCAGTCGCTTGTTCCGCTCGCTCGATCGTTCGCTCGCGCGATCAATTGATTCCACTTCATGCACATCGTAAATGGTTCAATTCGGGACTCGCTATTTCCTACCGAGAGCCGTCATTCAGATGTTCTCCGTTGGGCCGCCATTTACGCTCGGAGATACAAATTCCTCCTTCCGCATAACGGTAGCCATGTGTTCGATATTTTCCATGAATTTCAACCGCCACCGCGCAAGACTCGACAGCTCGAATCGTTCTCGATAGCGGATGTATTTCATGCAATATCGATTGAGAGACTCAAATTTCAGAGATGCTATTCATCTCATAGCATTATCGGACGATTTTTCATTCGGAAGGAAAAATTCATCGCTTCAGGGAGCATTCCTAGAAGAGTTCCGAAGTCGGCGTCGAGAATTCCAGGCGGAGCCATTCCCGTTCACGAGGATCTCACAGAAAAACCTTTTTCTCTTGCAGTTCGCACTTTGTCTCCTGGTCGTTCCATGACATGACTATTGGAGCTGGTTGCACCGTCCAAGCTCCGCATCGGAGCCCGACACCGTTGAAACGAAGGAGGCAGAATGGCGCACCGTACCGGGGGTCTCTTTAGGGAACTCCGCGGCACGTTGCGTCTGCCTCAAAGTCAGACTAGTTATCACGTGTCGCAGTCCGAGCAACTGCATTCGACCCACGAGCAGCAGTTGACGATACCTTTGGACGGTGCCAGTCAGCAGAATGGCTGTGCCAAGAGCAAACAACGCAACGGAATTTCCTCAAAGGTTTGTGTGAATCGACTTTCATGGGATATTTTACATTCATGAGCATATCATCCAGATATCGGTTGGGGTTTGTCCGCGCCGCGTCGTTGACTCCTTCCTCTGTTCGACCTTTGCGAATGTCACAAGCGAACTCTCCGAAGGGCGTCGCGTCGCAGGCTGAAACAATCATTGCGAGAATCAGGTTGGAGGAAGTGCTCCGCGCGTCTGGAAACTCAGCATGAAGAGCGACTATCGGCCTTTATGAGGGTCGTAAATAATTTGAGGGGATGCGATTCGATGGCACGGCTGCCGCACTTCCATCCCGAGATCAGCTCGCTCCGAATCCGATTGTCTTTGCAACTCGGTCGTCAGTCTTCGCTCATAACGAGATAATTGGATGCCTTGTTTACCATTCTAAAACCTTATCGTAGGATTGCCGCACCCGGAGAATGGCGAATGAGAGCGAGATTTTCTCTCCCTCACGATTCGTTTCTAGAAATGACGAATCCGATGGGTTTTGTTGTTTTGTTCAATTTGCTAGAATTGAGGATTTTGTCGATCTTGTCGTTGATCGATGTGGATGAGCTTGCTCGTTCCTGAAGTCAAGCATCCGGAGATGGCCAGGGGAGCGACCAGAGTTATCGGCAGCGGTAGGCAAATCGGCCCTTCCCAATATCCGATATCCCACTTTTTTCTTGAGGAACAGGGGAGAGCGGAGCCGAGCCTTTTGTCCGACTGTTTTCCAGGCTCAGGCGGCGCATATTTGCCTAGAACCTGTGTCGAGCTCGATTGTGTGTAGACTCGTTATTTCAATATCGATAATAGTTGGAATTGGTCGGTAGACGACGAGCGGAGGCAGCTGTTCGCTGCTTTCCTTATCTAACAAGCGGGTAACGTGGGATGGGAATATGAGTTGGAAAGAAGACGAACTGCGCGGAATAAAAATAGATGTTCCCCGCTCAATCCCCAGGGGAAAAGCAACTCAGAATCAAGAATAGGGGAGACTTGTTCGACCGACCGTGCCAAGCAGCCTCAGAGCGAGCAACTCATTGTTGTATTTGGTCAGTTCCTGACTCGCTTAGACTGTTAATGGAGTGGATACGCCAGGGCGAGTTGTTGGAGCCTAGCTTCTGCTAAGAAGGGGAACCGTTCTCCGTATCGCGAAGTCTCGGTTTTTCCTACGACCCGCGGAATATATAGAATTGCTTCGCTCTGATGCGGAGGCTCCGTCTCCATTCAGAGCCTGCGAGGCTTCCAACGGGGGAATCAGCCTCTTCAGAGAGGCTTCGAGGGATCCGCTCTCGGTCTCCGCAACGAGATTTCGTTCACGCGCTGCGTGCAACATGGAGTTCGTGGATGCGAGGGAGCTTCATTTATTAGACACGCCCCCGACCCAACTCCGCTCTCGGTCAGGGTCTGCAATGCGGCCAAACGAACCTGTTCGACACGACTGCTTTCGCGTGATAGGGTCTAGTAGTTGCGTGCACCGACCTCCTGAGCTCAGGCTTGTCATGAGGTCGGGCGCATCTCGTTTCGAACGTCGAGTTAAAATCCACCAATCCTGCCTCCCTGGTCACTGGCTGGGACCGAGTTTTTTAGCTGTCCAGTCGACCGGCATCTAGCCGAGCATCAGAGGGTTTTGATGTTGATCCCTCTATGCTACACGTAATCCATGATTAGAACGTCTCTCCTCCCACAAACATCTCCCTTTTTCCGATAGAGCGAGTCGAGCGTCCACTTGCCAGGCGCCGCTCAACGAGTACTACTTGTACATGACATGTTGTTGCACTATCCACGTTTTTGACGTGAATTCGAAGAAGGCCGCCTTCCCGACATCGGAACCGTCTGATCCGGGATGGAGCTCGTGAGTTTCCGTGATTTCTCCAATCTGTGCCTCCTTCGCTAGATTCCCTCTTTTAGCTCCATAGATCGGCATATAGTCATCAGGTTCCGCTTCAGTGCATATCCCTGCCTGGTTTCGACGAGGTTTGCCCATGGAGATTTATCCTCTCGACAGCGATCTCTTCCGAGAAGCTCGAAAATATGGACAGGAGCTCGGGGATTCAACGGCGAGGTCCACATTTCATCCATTATTATATTGACGAGGGCTTCCCCCAAGGAATGAGTGTGGCTCGCCCGCTCCTCGGCTCATATCATGACACTCTGACACAGAAGACGAGCTCTCTTCATAACGAAAAAGATGATTTCCACCCACAAAGTTCGCTCTTCAAAGTCGGAAAATCCATCCATAAAAACGTCGGAGCCGAAGATCGGATCGCACCGACGGAGAAATGTCTCGCGGCGGGGTTCTGCCCGAGCTTTGACTGCCCTGAAGGATTTTCTCCGACAGTGCCGTACGCCGATGAAGATGTCGCATGGAGGTTTTTCCGTGCTTTTGAGGATTTGGGAGAATTGGGGCCACCGTCTGATGGAAATTAGGAGATTTAGAATCCCCTCTTTCCCCGAACAATCCTGCGCGCTGCCGACATCGCATCAGAAACCGGCCGCTTTATGTGAGCCGATGATCGACGAAAACTCGACTGCGCTCGGCTTCCGCTTCCCGCGTCCGGAGCGTGCTCCGTCTCGGCATTTCCTCGACGTGCCTCTACATCGTTTCGCCGGTCCCCTAAGAGCGTTTGTTTCTTGATTGTCGTCAAGGATTTCCTGGAACGCTTCCGCGGGTCCGATTTTTGTCTTTATCCGGGACGAAGGCGCTCCTTCTTAGCGCTGGCAGAAGGGAAACTCCGTTGATTGAATGGAAACCTGATCAATTCCACGAACTGGAATTGGAGGGCGGGTGCTCATCTCATCACAAATCGGGGGCGAGGGACGAGGTCGATACCTATAGATGACTATAGTCGTCTTTATGCGTTCGTTTCAATTTACAGACTCTCTGAAGGTATTTCCTTTCCCTTACAGCTGCGTTCGGGACTCAGCCTGCGAGGCTCGAAAAACCAGAATCCTCCCAGTGTTTCGGCCGATGCTCGAAACAATGTTAAGTGTGTCATACTCATGTTGGACGATAGCAAGCATCCGTTTGAGGTCCACAAACACGCCAAAGGCAGCGTACTGGTGGACATGGTCTTCGAATCCCTGGGCTGTCCTCCAGTAGAGCGGGACTATTTCGGTCTTCAATTCGCTGAGAGGACCGAGGACGCTGATGGGATGCGATGGCTGGATCCGAGCAAAGCGATCAAGAAACAGTTCAAGCTCAATCCTCCATACCTGTTCTATTTTCGGGTGAAATTCTACGTGGCCGACCCGTGTGCGCTCCAAGAGGAGACGAGTCGATTCCACTTCTTCCTACAGATACAGAAAGACATACTCGAAGGCCGACTCGTCGTTCCGCAGCCGACGGCGATCCTGCTGGCCAGCTATGCGGTGCAGTGTAAGTATGGAGAAGGAAGATACAGGAGACTACTCTGGCTTCACCGTTTTTGGCTCCCCAGCTCCTGAGGCTCTGCGCGGGGAGCAACTCAACGAAAGGCCTCTACGTTTCTGTTCGGGGAACAGACTCCCTGGCGTTGTGTATAAATGAATAGTTGCGGTCAAGCTCGCTGTGTTCCCCCGACGGAGGAACGCTCTTTGTCGACACAGATGTCGTGGACTCGAAAGTCCTTCCGTTCCCTCTGTCGACGGAAACAACGGCGCAGGAGCTGCAGACAGGAGAACGACAGTAGCTAATTAGGATTACTCGGACAGCGAGTTCTGGTTCATTCTACCCTCACCGTCAAAAGGGGCTTGTTTCGCTGTAATATATTATAGGTCACGGGGTCTGTGTCCGCCTCCATTGAGCTTTGCACTCGGGTCTATCTCTGAGCTTCTTGTTGCGGACGGGATAACAGAAATTTCGCGGGACTCTCGATAACTCTTCTATAACGGTTCACGTTCTATCCGAAGTCGAAACGACGATGGTGTGATGTCGTCGAGAATGAGTTTGTCACCGCCTCTACTACTAGATGGGCCGAGATTCACCGTCGGTCAGTTCTGGTGGTCTTACCACTCCTCGACACGGAGAGCATTTTGTTTACAACCGTCGAGTCGCTCAAATCGACGGAGCCCTGCTCTCGTGTTTCGAGGGGAAACACAGCGTGACTGCTCCTTCTGGAGTTCCTACTCCTAGACGCCTAGATAACAAGGAATACCAACATAGGGAATATCATGGGAATCTCAAGCTGTAGGTTCCGATCGGGCTCGTCCGATTTCTCGATGCGCTCTCATCGATTCAGAACTTTTGAGTTCCCCATATGTGGTTCTGCTTCCCCGGTTCTCTCGATGAGAAAAGATCACGATCTCACGGGAGGATTCTCGAGAGGGAATCGCCCAAGATGAGTCTCGCCTACCCCTCATTAGCGACTACGGCCGGTATGATATCCGCCGCGCTATGGGCACGGACGGTAGAGTTCGAGAACGCAGTCTGACGTGCTATGCTTCTCGTCAATTGCAGCTGATCTGGGAGACTTCAACCCAGACGAGCACTTGCACGGTTATCTGGCAGATTTGCGGCTAGTGCCCAATCAGACGGAAGACGTCGAAGCGAAGATCGCTGAGCTGCATCGGATGCATCGGTAGGTTGATTTACGATTTGCTCCTTCATTCAGCATAGGGTCCGTGCAGATCCATGCTTCTCAGCGCCGAATTTCCTCTATCGTCTGATTCCCGAGGAGCTGCTGTGGATCAAGATCCATTCCCTCAGGCACGATCAGGCCAAAGACCTAGCCTCCGGCTCCGATCTCCCTAGTAATCCTCGGAGAATATCCTTTATCTCGTTCCAGTGGTCAGTATCCATCCGAAGCAGAATACAACTATCTAGCTCACGCCAAACGACTTGACATGTACGGCGTGGACCTGCATCGTGCGAGGGTAAGCCCATTGCTACTGCGGAAACACCTCCCAACCTCGCTAGGAGCCGAATCACAAACGTCGCGGGCGAGCGTTAACAATAATAATAACCATTCGAATCATCATCATCACCACGCATATGCTAACCACCAACAACGACACCAACAACGACAACAACAACAACAACACAACCACGATCAGAGCCAACCGGCGAATCATCGACACTCTCATCCGATACCGAGCAACGTTGAGCAGCACCAAGATGCGCCTCGACGTCACACCCTCACGCGGGGCGCGGTTCTGTTGAGCGGGCATTCGATTCGAAAAAGCATACGCCGCTTGCCTCGAATGGTTGCTCAACTCACGACGGGTGGCCGTATGGGCGCATATGGTGCATCGATGAACGCTTCGGACGAGTTTATCGTCTCCAAAGGCGTTTGCTCGGACGCTTCTGGAGGGAAACAGTCCGATCAGCCAAGGAGAGAAGAGGGCGATTCCGGAATCAAAGATCTCGTCGAAGGTTTCGGCAACGGAGTTTCTGCCAGTGAACTGCTTATCCCGCTCTGCATGGTCAGTTTCCTTTTTTTGTGTTCTCCTTATTTCATGTCGATGTTATGTTCGTACCCTTGTCAACATGTTGACAACTGATAATTGTCGGTGGTGTTTCTAAGCAATTCGATTTGTGTTCACGTCGCCCCATCTTGACTCGTTCTCGCTTCCCATCGTCCCTCGCACTTAGTTCCTCCTGTATAGTTTTTTTGTGCGCCCACCCCCTTCTCGTTTTGCGTCTCACCGGACCGGTCGTCGAGGAGACCTCAACAGGCGTGTTGTGGCCTCCGAAGACGCATCGAAGTCGACCTGGCGTGACGCTTGCTCTCAGTGCCACCCTACATCGGCAGTCTCTTCACTTAGAATTTCCGCAAGGACTTAGTAGATCGCAGGCTCGATTGCGGCACGGAAGATCCTTTGAGTGCATCCGTCGATCCGTGCGTTCTCGGGCACGAATACACCATCGCATTCTCTGAGCGTTGCAAAGTAGACAATTTCAATGTTGCGAGATATGAGCCAAACGAAGGTTAGGTATTCCACGAAAGGTGTTCTCGTTCATCGTTCCCCGCGCGACTCGGCCTAACTGCGAATTTTTTTAGGATTCGAAACAAGCGGAGATCCAGCTCGGGGTGACTGCGCAGGGTCTAGTCGTTTTCCAGAATAACATCAAGATGAACACGTTCTCCTGGGCAAAAATCATCAAGATCTCGTTCAAGAAAAAACAATTCTTCATTCAACTGAGACGAGAAGGCGTAAGTCTCATCGAGCCCTGCGACGCGCTGTCTGCTGCAAACAAGCAATTCATTATAGGAATCTCATTAGCAACGCCGGGATCCAGGCCCCGCTGGGATCCAGGGAACAAGCTAATTTCGAGTCAAGCTCATTTTCGACCTCTTTGTTCGCAGGAGGAGGAATTCGACTCTTTGCTGGGTTTCAACATGCAGTCGTATCGATCGTGCAAGAACCTCTGGCAGTCATGCGTTGAGCACCACGCTTTTTTCCGTCTACAATCGACCAGCCGTATCTTGCCCTCTCGAAAGCTCTTCCACGGTGGACTTTTCCATCTGGGGAGCAAATTCCGGTACTCAGGAAGAAGTGCTTTTGAGACGATGCAAGAAGCCGAGCTCAGACAGCGCGAAAAGGTACCTACCCGATACCTGCATACTTTCCCATACACGAGACACTGCCGCTCATCGCACGCAATTATCCGTTGGATATAGCCGCGTCGGATCCGAGCCCCGGTTTCCGTCCCAACGGGCGCAAGAGCGGTGCAAATAATGCTATTCTCCTACTATTCGCTTACAGTTGGATAATTTGGCGAACAGTGCAGGAGGCGACGACCTCAGCGCTGCAACCGGAGCAACCGGCGCCGAAACGTGGAGGGACTTACGAAAGTCCCCAAACTACCAAGGCCCCTCTACCCTCCAAGCTCACTCCCACCAATCAGGCGGAACTTCCAAGATTCAATTGGACGTGAATTCTGCGACTTCGGCTACCTCTCGTGCAGCACATGCTCACACCTCCCTCAACAGGCATTCTCTGCCTCATACTACCCAACCTCAATCCACTTCATCCCCCCACCTGATTCAAGCTCAGCAGCAGCTGCAGCAACATCAACAACAACAAATTCCGCAGCAGCAGCAGCAGCAGCAACAGACGAGTCGAGAAGCCAGTCCGCGTCGGGCAGCCAATGGACATTGCACTCCGTCGCACGTTCGGAGTCATTCGCAGCCTCACAAGACACCACTCACGCCCTCACGTTCACACCCACCGCACGCAACTCATCTGCCGCAACAACAGCCACTTGTGAAAGGGAGGGGGGCCTATATGTGTACCACGGGAGTTCCTATCCAAACACCCCACTCAGGGGGGGCAGCAGTGGCACAGGCGCCAACGACGGCTTCCGCCATGCAGCTGCAATCCCACCACGTCAGTTACGCCGGTGCTTCGGCAGGAGTGCAGCAAGTTCATCCGCGGCCTTCGCAAGTTCAAGATGACGCTCGTTTGAATCTCACCCCAAGGAAAGCTTGGACTGAGAGTCCCACTCAGTCGCAGGTATGCACTGGGGAACTCAATAGGTCACAGCAACTAATCAACAACAAGTGCCAAAACTCAAGGTGAGTGCGACTCGTGGTTTCGTATTGTCTCAATGACGATCTCGATGTCATGGCTCCCGACGTAAACTGACGCCATCTGCGGTCTCCGATAACCTTCCCTCTTCCTGACGTATACGTTATCGTTCCCTTGCGGAAAAAAAACGGAGACATTGGCACCATTTCTCTTCGCCCTCCGAGCTATCCAAAGCTACCCGGCACTCGCGGCGCTGATTCAAAGCTGCCGTCATCGGGCTGCGGTAGGCTTTTCTGGTTTGCGAAAGTAAATCTCCCCCGCGCGGAGACCTTCGAGGCTCCAAAATGTTCTGTCCGAGAAAAGATACCGACCTACTCTCTTAGAAAATCGTCATGGGCACCGCACAGATGAGTCAGGGTCAACGCAGAGATCGTGATTCGCCTTTACAAATGCGATAAAGCTCGTTCCTTCGGCTTAAGCTCCTTTGAGCGATATCAATGTGTTGCTGGTAGACCTACGACGGAGACTCTCTTCAACCTGGTCAGTTTGTCGAAGTGAATTTCACGTGGCCCTTCCTGTCATTAAGATCTGACTGATTCTGTTTTGCGTGGTGATTCCCGTCGGAATCGTTCTTAGGAACTGCGGGGGCAATGAGAGGATTTCTTTCGTGAGCTACACCTCCGGTTTGCTGAGTCTCACCGAGTAATTGTGATTTGATTGCAGTGCGACAGGTGAAGAGAGCCTTCTGGAAAGTATAATGAAAAGCACAGGATTCGCTCCGCAAGCTGTCCGAGGCGAACCGGTTCGAGGCCTGCGCTATGCCGACGAAGAGGACTTTGACGAACCACTTAAGGACAACAGGGCAGCGACCACAAGTCCGGCTACGGAACAGATTTGCACAACCAGCAATGTGGTTTCCATGGATGGCCAGCTGCAGGTAGAGAATTCGCTCTTCCCTCTCTTCCGGAAACCGACCATAACGAGACGTCTCGAGAGCTCCGCGGAGCACTCACTGATTTTCAGATTGGTATTTTGGCGCCTATTGCAGCCCGAAAAATTATTCTGATCAACGTATTCGTTTCCCTTCAGGCTTACAGCGATGTGGGTCTGGGAGGTCTGGGAGGGGTCGGCACAGCGCAGTTGGACAAGGATTCACTGAACAACAACACGAACAATATCAACAACAACTCAGTTAGCCAAAACAATAAGGCCCACAAAGAGGTGCATTCTCCGACGTCCACGGTTTCCTATCTCAGTTCGCCTTCGACCGATTCCGTAGGTTCAGCATCGCTCATCAGAATCAAATTAAAAGCCGATGCACAGGGCAGGTAAGACAACAAGCCGATGCATACGCCTACCGGAAATTCGTTCATACGAATCAAATTTAGTTCCAAAAATAATATTTGCTCTCCAATAATAATCATCGATGATCCTCGATCCACACTAGGTTCGGATTCAACGTCAAAGGCGGTCTGGATCAAAACAACAGTCCCATCGTGGTGTCGAAAGTCGTCCCAAAAACACCCGCGGACTCGACCGCACCGCGTCTCGAGGAAGGCGATGAAGTAGTGGCCATAAACGGTCACGAGGTTCGGGGTCTCACCCACGAGCAGGTCGTGAAACTCATCCGGAGTTGGGTCGAGGACACCAGCCCTTGCAACACAACCGGCGGTGGAAGATCGGGAGCTTCGCCAAATACCGCGACGCCTCTGACAGCCGCCGACAAGGAAACATCCGGTGTGCTGAGAGACAGTGTCGAGAGACCGCAGCGGAAAAAAGAAAAGAAGTCGACCGGAGTTTTTGGGGAGATCGTGTTGACCGTTCGTCCACAAGCTTTCCTCTTCCGGAAAGGAGCCGAAACAGATCTCGAGTCAGAGCCGGACTTTCAGTACATTCCGCTGTCATCTGATGATCTCGAATCTCCGCGAGTAGCTTCGGCGGCTAGCAAGCCGCTCCAGGAGTCCATGCTGCTCCTGAAGGAGAGCTTACACAGCGGGGCTCTCGTAGCTCAATTCGAGCAGCTATATCGGAAAAAACCCGGGATGTTGTGTGAAATGAGCAAATTAGCGAAGAACGCTGCTCTGAACCGATACAAAGATATTTCTCCATGTGAGTGCCCCAATCGAGAAACATGATTATTTCGTCAGCATGGAGTTTTTCACGAGTTGCCTATCGCCATGAATCCTTCCGTTGAAACGAGAATGACGAATTTTTTCCCCCCGAACAGATGACAAGACCCGTGTGGTCCTCACAGCGGACTCTCCCAACGGGAACGATTATATCAACGCTAGCTATGTTATTGTGAGTATGAGGGTATCTGTTGACAAGTCTGAGTACGTTCAGAGCAACATCGAGGGCGACCAGCCCCCATCGATGGACGAGAGCGAATCAGGGGACCTAATTATTTGCTTGACATTCCAGATGAAAGTTCCGAGCTCCGGCATCGTCAATCGCTACATCGCAACGCAGGGTCCCCTCCAGAACACGACATTAGATTTCTGGCAGATGGTGTGGGAGCAGCAGAGTACATTGGTCGTTATGCTGACCACTCTGATCGAGAAAGCGAGACTGAAGTGCTACAAATACTGGCCGAACCTGTACGAAACTCAAACGTTCGGACGACTGCAGGTTTCCTGCGTCGCCGAGCAGGAGACGAGCAGTTTCGCGTTCCGGGAATTCTCACTCATCAACGCGGACAACAACGAGGAGCGACATATCAGCCACATGCAGTACCTTGCCTGGCCCGATCACGGTGTTCCGGACGACGCCACGGACTTTCTCGAGTTCATCGCCAAGGTCCGCAGCAATCGGGACGCTATGGTCGAGCCCACTATCGTCCACTGCAGCGCCGGCATAGGACGAACCGGAGTTCTGATTCTTATGGAAACCGCCATGTGCCTGATCGAAGCGAACGAGCCTGTGTATCCCGTCGAAATCACGAGAACCATGAGGGACCAGAGAGCGATGCTCATCCAGACCGCTGTAAGTAGGAGAGTGAGCTCGATTTCCGGGAGCCTCTTTTTCTTCGAATTATCTCTCTGACGATCGACTCCGAAGTTCCATTATCAATGAATTTGCGATGGGAATGCTGCTAATTGAGACTTTCGGTTTCGTTACAGAGTCAATACAAGTTCGTTTGCGAGGCGATCCTGAAAGTGTACAGAGAGGGCATCGTGAAACCGCTGCCCGAGTACCAGAGGTGAAACTGACGACGATCTTAGCTGAGAGATGGCAAACTTGCGAGCGAACCACACGGCGACTTGGACGTCACGGATGTCGCCGACTGGAATCAAAACTTCATCTAGTCTTTCAAGTTGACCTACCAGGCGCGCACAACTCTGCTCAGCCCCGCTCCGATCAGTGGCGAGCAGCGCGTCTTCAGATGTCACACGAGCACCAGTTTTGTCCAACTTTGTGTCCGATCTCGATCAGGGTGTGGCACCGTACTTTAAATATATCTTCTAGCCTAGCTTTTAACTTGTACTCAGAGGGTCCTGAATAATTTCTCACATGAGCGGAATCCAGGTCTCTTGAAGCAAATGCCATGAATCGATCTGGAACAGACTACCCCGTGGATGATTTATTGGTTATTATCTCTCTGGTGGTTCCTAGCCGTGGAGCGACGCGGTTTTTTTTATCGCTTTGAGTTTCTCATCTTCAAAATATACAGTAGTCACGTCACTTTATTCCGATAGAGCGCGCGCCACAATATTGAATATGTTCAGCTTCGTAGAGAGAAATTGGGGAGAGGACGGAACAATAGAGAATATCGCTTGAGCGAATGCGAGGGCGGCACGCATGCTACTAAATTGATTTGGCGCCTCCCGTTGTATAGAACAAATCTCGCGTAGAACAAAACGAATTCGGAGGTTTCTTGAGAGAGCCGTCACCGAGGGGGAGTCTTCATACCCTGGCTGCTAACTCTGCTCCTAAGCCGGGTGCAATGCTCTGTGTTCCTAGATACACTTACGCTCCACTGGGAAGAGCGACGATATCACTTGAATAAACAAAGTACAACCTTGTGTGCATATTGAGGAAACTTGGAAAATCATTTCGTATGTCATTCATTCCACAGATGAATGTATATTCGGCCGAACAGTTCTTCCAGTCCTCGAAGAATTAGTTAGGAATGACTCCGATCGAAATTCGGCGAGCTAAATCTTCGAATATGCGAACTTACCGTGGTCACGCTCTCCTGAACCGATTTCGAGCCAGGTCCCGCGATGCTATCACGGCCCTTCAGGGGTTCATCTCTATAACGCTTACATAGAGCATGCTGCCGAGATTTGTTTCCGCCGCTGTCTTCTCTCCCCGCGTCCGACCTGAACGACAAAATGGGAGCGGATTTCGCATCGGAACAAGTGAGTTGAAATGTATCTTGAGAGGGGGAGGGGGAAGAAGTCCGAAGCTTCCGCGAGCAAAATCAAATGGTTCTGACAGCATTGACAATTAGTTAGTTTCCAAGCACACATAGTTCGTGTAGGTAGTTCTTCTTAGCACACGATCCGCGGCCAAATGAGGTATGAGACCGATGAGCGTCCCAACAAGTGACAACGTTTTACCGAGGAAAGTACGGATTGCCATTGTCCTAGGCATGAAATGAGATTAGGCACTTTGCCTAGATCCGCGGGATGTTATCGGTCTTCCCGAGACGGAGCGAGCCGTACCCGACACCAGAAAGAAGATGCAACTCTCCAACCGACTTTGACTCCGAGGAGTCATATGTCCTCCGAGTCCGTCCATTTTGAGTCTAAGAATAAGAAAAACAACTCAGCTGTACAGCTCCCGACTTATTTCCGAATTCGAGGAGAAAATACCCTTCGCCATAGGTTGAGGGGAGAAATCTGTCGACTCATGAGGGTATTCTCACCGGGCATCCAGATCTGATGTCTCCCCACAGATTTATTCTCGCCAGCAGCCACAGCTGAAAATTCGTTTCCCATCTAGGGCCCTGAGTGACTGCGTGAAAATCCCGCGATGGACTACGGTAGACTCCAGACTATTCTCCTGACTGTTTTCCTGTCGATCCCGGGGAGGAGTCTTCCCGGAAAGCCCGCCTTCTCTCATCAACAGGACGTTTCTTCTGATTCACAGATTACTGACGCGAATTGGACTTTCACGAGGACCATCGTAGAGCACACACTCATGAACCACAAGCAGGTAGCTAGACTCAGGGGTAGATTGAAAACCTTCAGCGACAGAGAGTTACCTGAACGAAAATGGACATCATTCGGAAGCTGTTCTGAACTCCGACTGCTCCCGGGGCATTGATCGGGGCCGTTGATCACGGATGCTTCCCGGAATAGATGGCGTCGGAAGCGAACCAAACGATGTCGAACTCTTTCTCCACAATGGTACAAACGACAACAGTACGCAGCCCTGTTGGATGTGAGCCCGAGAACTAACCAAGCGATGCCCGGTTCCTCACGATCTGATACCGCGAGTCGACAGCCCAGGATGCACACTGAGAAAATCAACGTGGAAACATGAAAGACCGTGATGAGCATTCGGAGTTGGCCATCCGCCTCTTCCATCACCTGGAAGAATTTATTAACGAGATATTGCTCAAGGTTGTGGCGACAGCGGTGAAATAAAATTCGAAGAACTCGTTGACGGGTTTGAACCACGGGGAAACTCCCGCTTGCATCGAGGGGATGTTCAACATAGGATCCACGGTGCTTGTAGCCCCACCGAGGAGGGCAACGAGGAGCAATACGTTTTCACGTTTTCGATTCCATGCCGTGTGCCTCCGGAACCATACCCGATTCGCTCGGTACCAGCAACCCCCGAAAATATAGAGCAGAGACTCAGTGATGAGTCCGAAGACGTGAGCGATCTCGGTCCGAGAGAGCAAGCCTTGGATGTCAAGCAGAAGTCACGACAGCATTCAGAACGAACAGAACGAGTCCATCAGTCCTCACGTCCTCAAGTCCTCGCGACGACGAGTTTTTTGGCACCTTCTGGAGCGATTCCTCTGACTGAGTGAGAATCAGAGCGGGCATCAAATAGTTTCCGATGCACATTCAGCCGTTCAAGTCCGAGCGTGTGATGCCATCCCGGAATGGGAAACGCGTCGACGCTGATCTCGTCAAGGAGAATCGTTTCGAAACGGGGCCTGGCCAAAATCGGATCGGAAATCGTCCTCGCGAGAGCGAGCGGTCGTGATCCGAGACGAAGGGTCGACATCGATCCGCTTCCCTGTGGAGGAACAGTCCTCCTTCAGGCAGGCTTTCCGCAAGGAAGAAATGCTGCCTCAAAGTGAATTTCTGACCCCGAAATATCTCGCTTCCTTTGTGAAATATGATAGAGCACGCTGTTATGGTAGTGATCGTCGTCGTGTAGACAGGTCGTCAGCTCAATCATCGCGATCTCGATCGCTGCAACAATAAAGCTCGACCAATCCAGTACACCGTTGAGCAAGGAAAGCCATGTATATGGTCAGGGTGAAGGGGACAGCACAAGGATGGTCACAATAATTACCCGAACCCCTGACTGAACTCGTTGAACCTCCGATGTTGGAAAATTCCATCGCGTGCGCGGTTCCAAGCTCATTCCCAGGCTGATGTTCCCGCCTTGATGATTGCGCTCCAATTCAAGCAACACTCTTTATATATCTGAGTGAGTCGTGAGGAGTATGTCAGGGAAACCTTCGTTACGTATATTAGTCTTAAGCTACGGGCGACTTCGGGTCTAATTGCCCACACCCGCGGGAAAAATCGGAGCTGAACACCTCGCTTCATATCTTGCGCTCGTCAGAAGTGGAAATAAGAGGATGGAAGAAAACAGGAAGCGGCGGGATGCTTTTTCGCATTTTTTTCCGAAATGAAATTGGATGGAAATTCCTGTCCAGAGCTGCACCTTGAGAGCCGGGGGCGTTTCTCGAACTTTCGAGGCTCAGCAGAGGCACGTATGAGGTCGCGGTCACCACCCCCTTGCAGCTCACAAGCACATCCAGCCAACTCAGCAGGATCTTTCCAGGTATCTCACACCTCCCGAGCAGTCGTTCTTGCTTCTGACTTCCGTCTCACTCCGAGGCCTTCAAGGAGGCTGCAGCTTCCTTCAAGCTAGTTGATTGACGTCATCGGTGACGTCAGAGGTTTGCATTGGAGACGGACTGAGGCTCGATGACGATCCGCGGCAGAAGTACTTGAGGTCGTTTGGGGACTCAACCAGTTATGCAAAAGTTCGTTGAACGACTAGCGACCCCGTGGAGAAAAGACGAGGCGGCCACGAACCTTTATTTTCTCGCCCAAGTTCTGATTCAAGACTCGAATCGAACCTCCTTTTACCGTTTAACTTCCCTCCCAGAATCCATGGGCGACCCAGAAGGTTCCATGAGAAGAAGCTGAGTTGAGATTCTCAATAACGGAGTTCAGAGGATGGGATTGTGACGGGAGCCCGGCCCTCTGGCGACTCTCAGGCGAGAGGCGTTCCAGAACCGCCACCAGGGAAAAGAGACGGTCGCGAGACTCGAGTTGTAGAATCGAGTTTTGCTCAAATCCCTTGCCATATACGAATCCTACCGTACGAGATTGACGAACAACACTGAGGTGTACGAATCTTCGGTGCAGCGGAGCGATTCTTCGTCCCCTGCTGCAACTCTAACGATCCAAGCCTGAGATATCTTCGAATCCGATAACTACTTCCGGTTCGAAGACACTTGCTCGAAGGCTCCCCTGCTGCACTGGGGCTACCGAACCCGCCGTTTTTATCATTCCCCAAAATTCTTCACCTCAGGACCTTGGCCTAGCTCCGAATCTATTCAAAGCCCTTGTGGTGAGTACTTCAATGATCTCATGCAGTAGAAGGATCAATCTTCTCCTTGCACAAACAGCGATAGATTCCTCGTCGGAAAGAATGACAGCCGAGAGAAGAATTTATTCCCATCAGGCACACTGACCATAGGCCTTTGTCGGATCGGAATAAGACTTTCCCGTCTCCCAAGGAAGCCGATATCGTTGTCGCTGACGGATTTACCCTTTAAATAAACGTTTCTTCCCGTCCGATGAATATCTAGGTGTGCGTCTGCGGCTCCGAACTTTTCCCGACCAACTGCGCATCGGACAGCTCGTATCTGATATTCTAGAGGATGCGCATACCGGCTTCCCGGAGGTCTGCACACGGACTGCTTTCCGTCGTGGACGCCACGGGAAATGGTGATGAAATATCGGGAAAACGCAATCCGGATACAGCGAGGGAAGGATATCCAACAAGGACCCAAAAACCAACCAATCCGTGAACAACAAGGAAATAATCCCTAGAGCCTGGACCTTCGGCTCACAGACCTTTCGAGCCGCCATGAACGACCATATGGCTCCCTGTTGTCATCCATGAGATAGTTGAGCTGACTCCGGGAATAGCAGAAAATTTTGGTTGATGAAGTGCGAGTTTATCGGAGTCAAGCCAAGCTAAATATAGCTCCGATAGATGATTATATGATTCGAATTCGCGATCGCCAACTGCCCCGTCCTGCCGTCCGGTCGAGCCAAATACGAAGCTGCTTACCAACAACAGATAATCCAATTCAGTGTTGGCGACTCCGAGTCTCAAGAAAGCCAAGCCTGGCCCTTGAAGCCGAGACGTCATGCCGTTCCCGCTGCCGCCATGGCAGTCGCCATCGTCGACCTGCCGCCGCCAGTCCTGCAATTCAGGTTCTACGCACGACCCTTTCCCGTTTCAGGCGGCTTGTCTTGACGTCATCAGTGACGTCAGAGTGTTGCATCGGGGGCGTAGTGATGAATGATGACCTTGGGAGAATTTTCAGAAGACCCACTCCACTTCATTCCTTCGCCTACTACTCGAAGGGCTCGCGAGCATTGTTATCTCTTTGAGCTCACTCCATCGTTTGCTAGGTTTAGTTCAGCGTGAGCGACAATCCCAAATGACCCCTCACATCAGGCTGAGTGCCGCCCGACCCCCAAGCCCCCGGACCATTTGAAAGCCGCAGCGTGTACGTCTCTGCCTCGGCGGG